AGCATTGCCTTTATTGATTTAAATTCAATTCATTGACCTTTAAACTATCAATTTTTGATTGGTCTGCACGAGAGGGTGACATTCAAAAAATTGTCTCCCGCTGAGCCATGGGATAGAGTAAATTATCTCCTTCGTATTAAACAATCAAAATCTGGCATTTTAACGTGAAGTATACTAATCTCTTATACTCCATTTATGAAGACATAACTGGGCATTTAGTATGTTTAGCAAGTTTATAATATTAGACTAAAGTAATGATATATTGAAACTATTATGTCATTTTAAATAATAACTTAATAAACATAGTCTTAGTCTGATGATGTTAGTGTAGAATTTTATTTGTTAAAAAGTCCCCTTTACTTCTGAATGAAATCCATTTTATCTATTGTATTAAAATTAAATCTAATATGAATGGCAAGTCTAATTTGAGTTTTTTTCCAAACATTGCCAAATGTGTTCATATTAAGCACTTCACTGACCCAATATAAAAGTCACAAAAATGATAAGCTTTATAAACATTCTCAGTGGCGGATCCAGAAATTTTTATAAGGGGTGGCCCTAAATCCGCCTCTGATTCTGCTTTAAACTTAAATTCGTAGTATATTAAAGGAGTTTTTTTTCTTATTTAAAACAGTACCTATTGTAAAAATCTTTGAATAAGCTCTTGCCTTTTTGTGCTGTTGCGGTGTAAAGCGAACACCAATCAATCAGTCAATCTACGTATACAATTAGCATAATTATTATTTGCTACAAAGTACAAGTTATATTTTGAAGTGCCATTAACCAGTTTGTGTTATTTTTTTACAAAACATTCAGTTTGTGATGTTCTCACCTAAATAATATCATATATGACATTCAATCATGTCAATTTGCTAGTCAGGTTGTTCGGTCACATTAATGAAACGTTGTTAATTCAACTTGCCATTCTGCATTCTTCAGATAAGCATCTTTGATCATTTACCTTTTGATATTATAAAGTTCCACAACCTAACAAGGGATGTTCACTTTGATAGAATCTTGAATAATTTGGCATAGACTATCCGCACTTAGTCTAGCCTGTCAACACTTAGGTTGAGTCGAATCCCACTTGTGGCAGGTGCGTTTGACTCCTATCTTAATTGACTAGAAATGCCAGTTTTCCTACTGAAGGTTGGTGGTTCTCTCCAGGTATTCCAGCTTTCTCCAGCAATAAAAATAAAATGCTTCGCTGAGCGCAGCCTGATACGACCGCAGTGGTCGAACCCTGAACAGTTGGGGCAAATTTGGACACAATATTCAAGCTTGATACTACTTTAGTATCTGAATTTGGATTGTGATCAAATTTTTGACATAATATAGGTTTCTGACACAAAATAAATGTGGTCAAAGATCTTACAAATCTAATGTGCAATACTGTGCATTTGAAGATTTCTTATTTAAACTTTTCAAAAATTTGAAATTTTGAAAATTTTGAAAAGAAAATATGAACCCTTTAAAAAAATTTGGAAATCCCCCCCTTCCCCCCAAACTTTTTGAATCACCCTTTTAGCATTAACCATCAAACTCAATTGCAGTCTTTCCTTTGTAGTATGGAACCTTGTAGTACAATTTTAGAGAGATCCATACACTTAATCACAAGTTACTGTCTGGAAACTAGAAAAATGCTTTTTTTTCTAACCATGAAAGCCCATTTAAATACATCATAAAAGTATTAAAATAGAAAATGACATCATAGTCATGGCTAAAATTAAAAAAACCTTCATCAGCAACTTTTAATAGTAATATCTAAAAATAAAATTCCTTCATCTGACAGCATTTAAAAGTAACTTCTAAAAATAAATTGACAGCCAGGACTTTGCAACCATAACAACCCATTTAAATACATCACAAAAGTATTAAAATAGAAAATGACATCATAATCATGCCTAAAATTAAAACACTTTCATCAGCAACATTAAATAGTAATATCTAAAAATAAAATTCCTTCACATACATAATCATGGCTATAATTAAATTACCTTTATTAAACATTTTTAAAATAGTAACTTCTAAAAATAAATTGACAGCTAATCACCTAAAGACAATACATTTCTTTATAAATAATTTACAAGCAGTGTAAGGGAGGTAATTTGACAATATGTGTTTGAATTACCTCCCTTACTCTGCTTTAAAGGCGACCCCTCTGTATGTAGCTTTTCTAAAAATCGAAATCATTTAACTGTTATTTTTGTTCATTCTTCAAAAAATCGTAATAATAAATGCACGCAATAATTTCTGGATTTACAATACCTATAACTGCATATATCTACATCATTTGGTATCTAGTGGACATTTGTCTCATTGCCAATTATACCACATATTCTTAATTTTATATACAAAAGATTCAAAGTCAATAGAAACATGACAGAGGAGGCAGGTCAAATAACTGCCATGGAAATAAGATGTGTTTATGCTAATACAAATGCATACCAAATATCATTGACTTACCACTAGTGGCTCCATTAAACTTACCTAATTACAAACTTTAACATTTACACTATACCCAAGGATTCAGTCATTAATGAGGTGTTTCCCCCTAAACTTACCCAACCCCAAACTTTCACAAATTGTTGATACCACAGTTGCAAACACCTTCCCTATGACTTCAACAGGCAAGACAAACAATGTTCTCCTTAAATTTGGTTCCAAAGCAAATACATCTGATACAATAAGTTAATATATTCTGTTGTTATGTTTGAATATTTATGCTTTTCTTGTGATCTGTCATTCTGTACACCTTTGTTCTAACGTGTTTTGTCAGCTTATTGTATACATTAAATAAATGGAAAATGTGTCCATGGGACACAGATGATGCCCCCACTTGCATATAACGTCTGGGGATAACTCCAGAACACTGAAACTGACGTCACCCAAATTCGAAATAGGTCTGAGTTTTGTGGTAATAAGCATTGTGTATAAGTTTCATAATATTTGGTTGAGGCAAACTAAAGTTAGAGAACAGAAACCAATTTCGGAATGTCATACGGACGGACGGACATAAGGACCAACAGACGGACAAGGGTAAACCTTAATTCCCCCTTCCTCTACAGCAGGGGCATACAAAAAATGTAAGAATTTGCCAAATAATTAGCAAAGATGATATTACAGTAAATACTTTTGCTGATGAAAAATGAAAATGGACTCAAACGTGATGGTAAATAAATTCCATTTTGTTGGACATCAGGAATGACAGATTGTCTTATTTGATTGTGAATAAAATCTACATTCTGCAGGCTAGTACAAATTATAACTCAAATTCTACACGTTCTACCCCTATTTCTTCAAATATCAGTTGATTTATTCAATGCTAATACAATGATTTTTTGGAACAGCCTTATTGCTCCAGTGATCTCCCTCATGTTGATTGGTTGCTGTCACAAGACATTTGCTTCATACCCTTTTTTCAGAATGAGGCACATATAAAAATTCTTAGAACTGATATAGAGAGGAATCTGTACTGAAAAAACGGCAAACAAGAACAGAAAAGAATGAATAAACAATGTACATTTCATATTTTATTTTGCAATGTGTATACGTAAGTAAAACATTTAAATAGCACTGTGACATACAAATTTCCATTAATTTACCATTAAATTCTATGATGTCCAAAATCTATTCTCTTCATAAAGTGAAAGAGATTGAGTTACATATCCAAACACCCAAGTAGCAATTTTATCATTTTCCAATGTTCTAATTCATAATACATATAACATTTATTGCATACTTTTAACAGAATATTTTTATTTAAATAAATGACTAGGTTTAATACAAACTACAGAGATGAGAAGAGAGCAAACAAAAGTTCTTATAAAACAAATATAACATCAGTCGGAGCAGCTCAAGAATGACAAAAAAATAAAGTCTAATATGAAGCACTAATTGTATTCAAACTAATATATACATAATTTAACCAAAATGATTCAGCTATTTATTTTGTATTCAGGTTTGATTATTGTCAACATACTAATTTCAATAGCAACCAATTTGGCTGGTCACATCATGTTTGCTCTTTTATACTATACTGGTAATATAAAATTGATAATGGAAATGGGGAATGAATCAAAGAGAAAACAACCTGATTAATGAGCAGGAAATATGTTTTCTTTTGCAAATTTAGTTTTTCTAAGTATACTGTATCTTGCCAGTTTGAGAATACTAAAATATAAAGACTTTTTACAGAAACTGGTATCATAGTAGTTTAGTTTTGTTCTGAATAATATTAATATGAGGTAGAAATTAACAGATTATTTCAATAACACAACTCCCAAAGGGTGACTGGGGAATAGAAATATGTTCACTACAGGTCTTTTTTCTGAACGGCAGTAAAACCCTTGCCAAAGTGGGGCGTCCATTTGGCTGTGTGGGATGTATCAAGTACGCAGCCACACGGTCTGAATGGGGACGTTAAATCCGATGCCTCATGTAGAGAGAGTGCCATGCTCTCTGCACGTTAAAGGTGGCCTGTTGCAAGGGTAAATTTCTGCCCCTATCCATTATACCCTCATTTTCCATTGGCAGTCCAAATTTACCCCAACCTTCATTCCCAACGTCCTCTATTACAGGACCTATCTATTGTATTAATTGTTAATTTGTTCTCGTTCTGAACATGCATTAAATATTTGCCACTGGAAGTTAAGCAACCAACAATCAATCAATCAATCAATAACACAACCTTCTAAAAATGCTTATTAGAACAGTATTTTCAAATTTTTTGGAAACAATTTTCTATGAGCATTGACACATTTATACCATTTTTTTCCAACATAGCATGCAGTAAATATCAAAATAACAAATATTTTATTAAGTTAACTGTAATGTGCTGCAACTTTTTTTCAATGTGTTTCAAAGTTTTGGGGAAAATGTTGTACTAACAATAAATGGAGTAAAAATTCTTATGATGTCATTCTTTTTAACAAATCATGAATGTTTATCTGTACTTATCCGTGTTTTTTTTCCTTCTTTTTTTTAAGGGGGGGGGGGGGGGGGGGGGGGGATATGATATCAGCACAAATTAAAATAAAGATGTCATACAAGTGCAGGAGAAACTGCTACAACATTTAAGTTTAAGCATATATTGGATAGTATACACAATTATTTCTATTAAACTTCATAATAGCCATATTGTAAAAGTTCACTTTCAAAAGGTCGACTGAAAATAAAAGATACTGGAGAGTGGATTTCACTTTTTCTCCTTACCTCATGTGGATTTTGTTTTGAATTTCAAAACAGGAACTTATTTTCAAAATGTTACAAAATATATATTTTTGATGGAACACTGCATGTTCAAATCATTTCAGAACTAAAATGTTTCCTGTTTGTCAGTTTATTGGTGTTAAATACCCCTTTCAGCAACCATGGTTATATAATGGGGACCAGCTTTTATCAGTGGAGGATGCTGGAGTACTCAGAGAGAACCACTGACATTTAACAGGTAACAAGCAATCGATGAACAGGGTTTGAACTCACAACCTAAGGAGTTAACAGGCAAGTGATCACTGATGAACTGCTGACACCACTGAGCCACTGAGGCACTTCAAATATTTCCTGGTTCCAAGCACAGTTCAATTGAAACAGTTAATAAATTCAAATTCTTAACAAATAATTAAATAACCTAATACCCATATAAATACATGGAACTTAATATACTGGGGTAGGGAAAACCTTCAACAAAATATATCATTTAAAATACATAACAATATAATAAGTTTCAATATGATTTCAGCAAATGATTTACATGATGTGGTATATTAAGTAGGTGGTGCAGTAATGGAAAATATTTAAATGCAATTTCATTAAAGTTAACTCAAGGATTACTCTGATATTTCCTGTATATTTTTGTAATAATTACTTCTTCACATTTTTATAAAATTAATAATGAATATTTATTGACCATCAATCAAAAATTGTTATTCAAATCAGCTAAAGATTAGATTTTTTTTCCTTTGTTTTATTTTTCAAGTTCAATAATGTACCGGAACATAAATTTAGATATTAATGTAAATGTTAAATTAATTAATGTGACTTAGATATGATTTTTTATAAAGAAAAACCTGAATTTTGAATTATACAATTTGAATTCTGTCAAAACTTTCACAATATAAAACCATCCCACCATTTTCTGAATTTAAAGTATACATGATTATTGTAGATAATGACACTATTTAAAACCCATTTAAACAAATTCGTAGTCTTGCCATCATAAAATTGTTTTTACATCTTGTATTTTCAACTGTATTACCTCTACAGGATAGAGATAACCTTGTTAATTGTATAATATCAAAATACTCTACTGATAACCAAAGCTTCAATTAATATAATATTTTCTTCTTTTATATTTTTCTTCTGTCTTTGTCATTTTATTGCTTTATTTTGGTCATTATCACAGATATATTTTACAACACAGCAATTTTTTAAAGTTCTTTGAGATCTTTTTCTTGAACTGCAGAATTCCATGATTTTAAATCATATTGCACATGGGTCAAATCCAAAATGCTGATGCATTCAACATCTGGAATTTCCCTTGAATATTTTTAGATTTTAGGAAGTGTTGTCCCTCATTCTGCAATGCCTGGAGTATTTTCAATAGCTGCCTGTTGTAAACAAGGCAATAAGAGTTGGAAGCCATCATGGATATATGTGCTGCTGTTTGATGCCTGAAAGAACATGAAACAATATTTTAAAATATATATGACTTTTTCAAAGTTGAATATCAAATAAATATATTCCTAAAATTGACATAACTAACATAACATAAAATATAAGTGCTTGACCATGAAGAAAATTTACTTCTACATGTACTTGTTAGACATATTATGTCAATTCAAAGCCTGCAACTCACTCATAACCAAGATATAATAACCATAGAGAAACATATATATGACAATTGTGTAACTATGTAAATTTAAAAAAAATTATGCTTCAAACATAACTTGAAAGAACTCAAAAGGTCCATGGTTAATGTACAGTTATGTATAAGTTGCATGTGACAGAAATGTGTGGTGAATAATGTGTAGAGGTGATAATTATATATCTGTAACAGGAGAGCATGATTCTTATGAGAAAACCACATTGTCTCCTCCGGGACTCAAAACAGGGCCTCTGTGTTTAATACAAGGCAGCGCTCTAACCAACTGAGCTAAAGAAGAACTTTCTTAACTCAATCTCTTAGGGCTGGCCAAGTATCTACTACATGTACAAAGGGAAGCAATCCCATCACACTTTCCCCACCTCAAGAGTCATCATACCATTATGACTCTCACAACACATACCATGGATAGAAATCCTATCTAATCACAGGGTGTTTTAATTGGGAGCCAAATGTAACTGGAAAGCATGATTCTTTTGAGAAAATCACATTGTCTCCTCCAGGACTTAAACCCAGGCCATCTATGTTACAAGCCAGTGTTCTAACCATCAGAGCTGAAGAAGTGCTTCCTTAACGCAACCACTTACCCTAGGCTAAGTATCTACTACATGTACTAAGGAAAGCAATCCTGTCACATATCTATAAATTGGATGAGTGGCAGTGTTAGCATACCTCTATCAATTGGGTGGAAAAAATATTTCTATTTGTATATATATTTATATTTCTTCAGTACAAACAACAATCTATTTGCATATATCAAATGAATTGATTGCAATGTAATAATATTACCTCTAAATAGACATTTGTGACCATCTGGTTAATACTAATATCGTTTTCCATATCTTCCTGAAATTTATAAATATACAATGCATTCAATATAAATCTGGTAAACATACCCAATAATAAATTGTATTACAAATCTGTTTTGTTACTGAATGAAGAAACTCCAATAATACATTGCATCTATTCTATTGTTAAAAATTCAAGTCACAGTTAGTGATACATGTAAATGCACAAAATGATTTTTTTTTTTTTTTTGCTGCTGTTAGACTTAAATTATTCTATTTAATAAGTGTGTCATCAACATCCTTTAAATTGAAATAGTTAATTATAATTACTTTAACTAAATTTTAAGAAGCATTGTCCATGCGTTATATTTAATCCTGTAACAGTGGCAGGATTATCTCAGCTATGGGAGGTCATAGATTTGATCCCACGTAAGGTCAACCACATATCTATGGAAAGGAATGGTTTAACTAGAAGTAACAACTGTAGTTCATTGTTATTTGTTGGCAAGCAATTTTCATTAAATTTTGTGAGTAAAGGTGAATAAAGAATTTAAAAGTTCGCTGAAGTACGAATTTTCTATAGGCTAGTATGCAGACTTTGGCAAAACCATGAAGTCAAATATCTGCAAAAAAACAATGTTTCTTTAATTCACGAAAATTGGTGCCAATGAAAATAATTGAATTCACAGTATTATGTAAGAATTCTTGTTTCCATTGTAATACCACTTACCCCTAATTTGTTAAGGCAGTGTGAGAATTTTGTTGACAAGATAGACACTTCTGTGCTCAGCAGTTTGTTGATACTGAAATGAAAAACAAAATTCATATGAAACAAGAATGCACATGTTGTCCTTCTAAAAATATTCCCACTCGTAATTCAAAGTATAGGAAAACAGGAAGTAGTTGTCTGACAGACCCAAAAGGTATACATACATTACAAGTCATCATTGATGAGTGGCTGACCAAATTTTAAGTCATTCTATTCAGTAGTACTAGAGAAAATTGTGATGAAAATTTAAGTTGATTCAACATATTAAACAAGAGGCTGTCAGAGTAACAACAAACCGGATTTCCTGCAGAGGTCGAACCCTGAACAGTTGAGCAAGTATAGACACTACATTTAATCTTAAAACAGCTCTGAATTGGGATTGTGATTGAATATTTGACACAGCATAGTTTGTGACACAAAATGAATGTGGTAAAAAAACTGAAAAATTTGAAATTGGACATTTACCTATTATATGATTTAACCACTAAAAAATAGTTCTCTAAAATTAGATATGATATTATATCTACTTTCAAATTATAATCAATTAAATATCTGCTTAGATTCAGCACATCAAAGAACCCAAACCATTCATTTTTTTTTTTAAATTCAAACATAGTTTAATTTTGGACCCTTTGGACCTTAATGTGGACCAATTTGAAAACAGGCCCCAAAATTTAAAATATAAATACATGATTAGATTCAGCATATCAAAGAACACCAATAATTCAATTTTTGAAGAAATCAAACAAAGTTTAATTTTGGACCCTTTGAACCTTAATATGGACAGTAAAAGTGAAAATCATCAATATCAATCTTGACCTCCATTTTGTCATCAGTCACAACATATTAAAATTTGAAAAGCTTTGGTTGAACAGTTCATGAGTTAAAGCACGGACACGACTGGAAACACCATTTTTTAATCTTTCAAGAACCATAACTCCTGAAAATTGAAAGTGAAAATCGTCACTATCAAAATTGACCTCCATTTTGTCATCAGTAACAACATATAAAAATTTGAAAAGCTTTGGTTGAACCGTTCATGAGTTAAAGCACTGACATGACTGGAAACACCATTTTTCAATCTTTCAAGAACCATAACTCCTGAACGGTGAAAGTGAAAATCGTCAATATTGAACTTGGCCTCCATTTTGTCATCAGAAACAGTGATTTTGATAGCGCTCGTCAATTTCGTCATTTACGAAACGGTTTTCAAAATGACGAAAGTATTTCAAATCAATTTCGTCACTTAAATTTGAAAAGTGTAAACATATTCTCGCATGAAAATACTATAATTCTACCTGTCTTCATGTTTCTGACAAGTTTATGACCCTCAGCTAATTAACATTTACAACAGGTGTTATAAGTTGTGATAACAGGTAATCAGCTTATCGCCATCTGATGGGTCACTAATCCGTTAATTATTAAAAAACCTCATAATTGACCATCATCAGTCAGTTAGCATTTCAATTTCAAAATTTCTCAAGGCAAACGACCACAATATGCAGTTCGTTTGTCGTAGTTTGGTATTTTGAACAAAATAGTTTTCCCCTGGACAGTTCGCTTTTTAATTTCAATATTTCTCAAACGATCACAATTTGCAGTTCGTTTGTTGTAATTTCATCAAATGAACGTATTTTCGTCATATTTGATATAACTTTTCATCAAAAACTTTCGACAATTTCAATTAAAAAGATAGAACTTTATTCAAAACGTTCAGAAATGTTTTCACAAGTCAAACAGGTGCTTCTTATACGATATACTGCGCATGCGTGAAAGTATTCCAATGAATTTATAGACACTAAAACGTAAAATATGAAATAATTTAATATCAAATTAAATGAGAGAGACAAATATAGTTCTTACTAAGCAAATTTAATTAAAAAAATTATAATTTCCTGCCTTTATTAAACACGAACCAATCCGTAGATGTATCCAGATACATTCTGAATTTATTATCTACTTGTCACTTCCCATTTTCATTTCCTTTGAAAATCGAAAGTAAACGTGATCAATTCTTGATTAATTTACAATTTACAGTTATTAGAATAGTTCCAATAAGGATTTGTACAAATCTTTGGTTCCAGCTTTATAGAAATGAATGCCAAATATCGATTTAAACGTTTTTATAAGGATAATGATTATGCAGTGAAATAGTCTTACAACTACAAGTTCATTTATGCTGGGATTCCTGGTTTAAAAAAAAAATGGAACCCAACTTTTGTTGATCAGGAATGTCCCCTGAAACTAACTGAGGTGGAATTGTGAACTAGATTTCCAGATCTTATATCCTAATCTTATATCTAAGTGCTACATCAGTCAAATCATGCAATAACTGCCTAGTAAATTGCCTTAGTCCTTCAAAGTCTGACAAAGATGTATAGCTAGTAATATACATCCTTGGTTCCTTGCTGTTACCCCAAATAAGGTTGATTTTCATCTTGCGCAAAAGTGACTAAAGCCCTCAAAATCCTAGCTTAAAACCTGTCAGAAACAACATATTAAAATTTGAAAAGCTTTGGTTGAACGGTTCATGAGTAAATGCACGGACACTGTTTGGCAGCCCCCTGCCCACCCGCCGTACATCACCAAATTAATAACTGATTTTTTTTTATAAAATCCGTTTAAAAATTCAATTTATCAGCAAACAAAAAGGTGGTGTATGACAGATTTTAAGTTTGCTCACATGTTACAAATCATTGGTGTCAAGCTGATGACTGAGTATAAAGTCATTCTGTTATTTGTACTTGGGACAAATTTTTTTAAGATGATTCAACATATCAAAGTGTCACACTAAGCATCAATATTACCTAAGTAAACATTTCGCTCTTTCAATGAAGTTTTTGTCAGAGTCCTTCTGGATAAGAATGAGTTCCCCTGCTTTATGAAACTGTTCCATGGCTTTTGAAGTTAACTCTGCTAATGACTGTATAGATTTCTGGTGCATTAACTGCAAAATAAAAAATAAATATACCTTCTGTCTGACCTTATTTTATTGGTAAAATCAATTTTCAAACCCAATTAGCAGCTTTCAAAAAATAAAGGCCATTTGTGACAAATTGTTTTTCATGGATGACACGGTAACTAAGAAAGCGTATAGAAAATGTGTGGTATATGTCAATGTGACAGCAGTGCAAATAAAGAGCTGTGCCATGAGCGCATGATACGCCCGTCACTTTTTTAAAGAATAATAAAATGCTTCGCTGGGCGCAGCTTGATACGACCGCAGAGGTCGAACCCTGAACAGTTGGGGCAAGTATGGACACAACATTCAAGCTTGATACAGCTCTGAATTTGGATTGTGATTAAATATTTGACACAGCATAGGTTTCTGACACAGAAAGAATGTGGTCTAAGAACTTCAATTTTTTGATTCAGCCATGCTGGATCTATGCGATCACTCTGGTTTTGGAGATGGTGCAGAATACTTAGTTGAAGACATATCATGAAACTAATTATGTGTTTTTATGACTTGCAGAAACTTTCTACACCATTTTAATCATCAACTGCAAACTTTTGACATGTTATTTGCCCTTAAATTAAGAAAAGATTCGTCGAATAGTGACTTTATTTTAGATATACACTTGCATATAGTTCCTTTCTAAATCAAAATTTATGATGATTTACTATTTATGAATTAATTTGAAAAAGTATTTGTACATCAATTGAATCAGTTGATAAGAATTTTGAAAGTATTATATTAGTATCTTGTGCTTGTGTAAATTATTGTTCAATGAAATGTAGGTCAACATGTGTATTAATATATCTAAGTTGATTCCCACACTTTTTTGAAATGATATTACTCCAATTCTTTCCATAGGCGCAAGTAAGAGTCAGAATGATTATTAACTGTCATGATTTTCAAATAAGTATTAATTAGAAATAACCCCAGGCTTAATTCAAAACAGTTAATATCTCATGACCTGTTACATAATTGAATAGACACAATGTCTTACACACCTAACTGAATACACACATTCTTGACCTCAATAGTAAACCTACAAATGTATTATTTATTTTGATCTACACTACATTAAAATATTCTGTTAATTTTGCTAGCTAGCTGAATGATTAATCTGAAATATTAAACAAAATTGCATAACTCTTACCTGAGCATTTTCTGCAATAAAATTTATTCAGATATGTGAAGATGTGGTATGAGTGCCAATGAGACAACTCTCCATCCAAGTCAAAATTTATAAAATTAAACCATTATAGTTATCCACACGGAGCATTGGCTCACACCGAACAGCAAGCTATAAAGGGCCCCAAAAATTACTAGTGTAAAACCATTCAAACTGGAAAACCAACGGTCTAGTCTATATAAAATACGAGAAACGAGAAACACTTATGTTTTGTTTGTTTTACATTTATATCCCATTATATTGCTAATTAACAGTAATTGGAAATATCTCAGCGTAAGGTATTTGAACATTCAGATTTGAATACAGGAAATGAATTTTTCTTAATGAAGAATGAACACCAATTTAGATAAAAAATAGTTATTATTTTTTTTTTTAATTTTTGTTGTTTAGAAAGTGCATTTATAAGGCCTCTTTCTGGAAATTGTTAAACCTGTCATTATTAATGGCATATAAAAAATATATTACTTGTTTGACGATTTCCTTTCCATTCTTGTCAAAAATAAAATCTGACAGAGTCTAAAATTGAAAGATCAGTATATATATCTATATTTGCATCAATATTGCGAAATTCCCTACCTTTGGACAATAACATAGAAATTTTACAGTAAGATTGGAAATGAAAAGATAAAAAAATTTAGAAAAAATTATGGTCAGAAAGAATATGAGACTAGCCATGAATATGGCTGGATCACAACATCAACGATGCTTTGATTTAATTTACCTATTATGGTCCAATGTCCAAAATCAAAATACATGGTTAGATTCAGCATATCAAAGAACCCCATATATTCAATTTTTGTTGAAATCAAACAAAGTTTAATTTTGGACCCCAACTTGGACAAACTTGAAAACTGGTCCCATAATCAAAAATCTAAACACATGTTTAGATTCAGCATATCAAAGTACCCCAAGAATTCAATTTTTGTTAAAATCAAACTAAGTTTAATTTTGGACCCTTTGGACCTTAATGTAGACCAATTTAAAAAACGGGACCCAAAATTAGAAATCTAAAAACACGGTTAGATTTGGCATATCAAAGAACCCCAATAATTCAATTTTTGATGAAATCAAACAAAGTTTAATTTTGGACCCTTTTGACCTCTATATGAACCAATTTGATTGCAGGCCTAAAAATAAAAAATCTAAATACAAGGTAAGATTCAGCATATCAAAGAACCCCATATATTCAATTTTTGTTGAAATCAAACAAAGTTTAATTTTGGACCCCAATTTGGACCAACTTGAAAACTTGGCCAAAAATCTAAAATCTAAATACATGTTAAGATTCAGCATATCAAAGAACCCCATATATTCAATTTTTGTTGAAATCAAACAAAGTTTAATTTTGGACCCCAACTTGGACAAACTTGAAAACTGGTCCCATAATCAAAAATCTAAACACATGTTTAGATTCAGCATATCAAAGAACCCCAAAAATTCAACTTTTGTTAAAATCAAACTAAGTTTAATTTTGGACCCTTTGGACCTTAATGTAGACCAATTTAAAAAACGGGACCCAAAATTAAAAATCTAAATACACGGTTAGATTTGGCATATCAAAGAACCCCAATAATTCAATTTTTGATGAAATCAAACAAAGTTTAATTTTGGACCCTTTTGACCTCAATATGAACCAATTTGATAGCGGGCCCTCAAATAAAAAATCTAAATACATGGTAAGATTCAGCATATCAAAGAACCCCATATATTCAATTTTTGTTGAAATCAAACAAAGTTTTATTTTGGACCCCAGTTTGGACCAACTTGAAAACTGGGCCAAAAATCTAAAATCTAAATACATGTTTAGATTCAGCATATCAAAGAACCCCATATATTCAATTTTTGTTGAAATCAAACAAAGTTTAATTTTGGACCCCAACTTGGACCAACTTGAAAACTGGGCCCATAATCAAAAATCTAAACACATGTTTAGATTCAGCATATCAAAGAACCCCAAGAATTCAATTTTTGTTAAAATCAAACTAAGTTTAATTTTGGACCCTTTGGACCTTAATGTAGACCAATTTAAAAAACGGGACCCAAAATTAAAAATCTAAATACACGGTTAGATTTGGCATATCAAAGAACCCCAATAATTTAATTTTTGATGAAATCAAACAAAGTTTAATTTTGGACCCTTTTGACCTCAATATGAACCAATTTGATAGCGGGGTTCACAAATAAAAAATCTAAATACATGGTTAGATTCAGCAGATCAAAGAACCCCATATATTCAATTTTTGTTGAAATCAAACAAAGTTTAATTTTGGACCCCAATTTGGACCAACTTGAAAACTGGGCCAAAAATCAAAAATCTAAATACATGTTAAGATTCAGCATATCAAAGAACCCCATATATTCAATTTTTGTTAAAATCAAACAAATTTTAATTTCGGACCCTTTGGACCTTAATGTAGACCAATTTGAAAACTGGATCCAAAATTAAAAATCTAAATACACGGTTAGAATCGGCATAACAAATAAATAAATGTGGTCAAAGATTTTACAAATCTAATGCGCCATACTGTGCAATTAAAGATTACTTCTTGAAATTTTTCAATATTTGAATTTTGAAAAAAAAATAATATTTGAAGAATAATTCTTTTTAATTTCTAAAATCTGAAATGAGAAAAAATTGACCCCCCACAATTTCTTTTTACCCCCCCCCCCCCTTTTTTTCCCCCAAACCATAATTACCCATTTAAATTGACCATAGTGCTAACTTAATCTATTTTATAATAGAATTTAAAATATAGTGTCAAATCTTTCATATGGATTTTTTGGTAAAAAAAAAAGATGCAACATTTGCAGATATTTTTACTGGTCTTCCTTTATAAATATGCATTTCTTTAAACATAATTTAAAAGCAGTGTAAGGGAAGTAACCAAAACGTTGTATTTGGATTACCTCCCTTACACTGTTTTAAATTATCTTAATTGTTCATTAACCATTACTTTATACATAATTTAAAAGCAGTGTAAGGGAGATAATTTCAATGATGTATTTGATTTATCTCCCTTACACTGCTTTAAATTATGTTTTGTACTAAAGTATTTGTCCATTAACCAGGACAACCTTGTTTTTCCCTTTTTTTTTGCCCCTTATTCTTAAACGGTTTGAGCCATAACCCCTCAAAGCAAATCCTAACCATCCCTTTGTCGTATGGAAACTTGTAGTATAATTTCAGAGAGATCCATACACCGTTCCACAGTTATTGTCTGGAAACTAGAAAATGCTTATTTTTAGCCCCTTTTTGGCCCCTAATTCCTTAACTGTTGGTACCATAACCCTCAAAATCAATCCCCACCTTCCTTTTGTTGTATTGAACCTTATGGTAAAATTTCATAGAGATCCATTCACTTAAACTAAAGTTAGAGTGCGAAAACTAATGCGTCTTCGGACGACGACGCCGGACGACGACGACGCCAACGTCATACCAATATACGACCACAAAAATTTTTTTGCGGTCGTATAAAAATGGGTTTTTTCCAGTTTTCTGACTATAACTCAAAAATGCTTTCAACATTTTTCATGAAACTTTGGGGAATTGTTTATATATGTATCGACATAAGTTCCCTTTCAATTTAAAAAAATTTTTGATTTTATATTTTGGTGTATTGGGACTTTATTCATAAATAAAATGCTTCGCTGGGCGCAGCTTGATACGACCGCAGAGGTCGAACCCTGAACAGTTGGGGCAAGTATGGACACAACATTCAAGCTTGATACAGCTCCGAATTTGGATTGTGATTAAATATTTGACACAGCATAGGTTTCTGACACAGAAAGAATGTGGTCTAAGAACTTCAATTTTTTTAATTTACCTATTCTGGTCCAATGTCCAAAATCAAAATACATGGTTAGATTCAGCATATCAAAGAACCCCATATATTCAATTTTTGTTAAAATCAAACAAAGTTTAATTTTGGACCCCAACTTGGACCAACTTGAAAACTGGTCCCATAATCAAAAATCTAAACACATGTTTAGATTCAGCATATCAAAGAACCCCAAAAATTCAATTTTTGTTAAAATCAAACTAAGTTTAGTTTTGGACCCTTTGGACCTTAATGTAGACCAATTTAAAAAACGGGACCCAAAATTAAAAATCTAAATACACGGTTAGATTTGGCATATCAAAGAACCACAATAATTAAATTTTTGATGAAATCAAACAAAGTTTAATTTTGGACCCTTTTGACCTTAATATGAACCAATTTGATAGCGGGCCCACAAATAAAAAATCTAAATACATGGTAAGATTCAGCATATCAAAGAACCCCATATATTCAATTTTTGTTGAAATCAAACAAAGTTTAATTTTGGACCCCAATTTGGACCAACTTGAAAACTGGGCCAAAAATCTAAAATCTAAATACATGTTTAGATTCAGCATATCAAAGAACCCCATATATTCAATTTTTGTTGAAATCAATCAAAGTTTAATTTTGGACCCCAACTTGGACCAACTTGAAAACTGGGCCCATAATCAAAAATCTAAACACATGTTTAGATTCAGCATATCAAAGAACCCCAAGAATTCAATTTTTGTTAAAATCAAACTAAGTTTAGTTTTGGACCCTTTGGACCTTAATGTAGACCAATTTAAAAACGGGACCCAAAATTAAAAATCTAAATACACAGTTAGATTTGGCATATCAAAGAACCCCAATAATTCAATTTTTGATGAAATCAAACAAAGTTTAATTTTGGACCCTTTTGACCTCAATATGAACCAATTTGATAGCGGGTCCACAAATAAAAAATCTAAATACATGGTTAGATTCAGCATATCAAAGAACCCCAAGAATTCAATTTTTGATGAAATCAAACAAAGTTTAATTTTGGACCCTTTTGACCTCAATGTGGACAAAGTTGATAACGGGGCCCAAAAATCAAAAATCTAAATACATGGTTAGATTCAGCATATCAAAGAACCCCATATATTCAATTTTTGTTGAAATCAAACAAAGTTTAATTTTGGACCCCGATTTGGACCAACTTGAAAACTGGGCCCATAATCAAAAATCTAAATACATGTTTAGATTCAGCATATCAAAGTACTCTAAAAATTCAATTTTTGTTAAAATCAAACTAAGTTTAATTTTGGACCCTTTTGACCTTAATGTAGACCAATTTGAAAACGGGACCAAAAATTAAGAATCTAAATACACGGTTAGATTCGGCATATCAAAGAACCCCAATAATTCAATTTTTGATGAAATCAAACAAAGTTAAATTTTGGACCCTTTAGACCTCAATGTGGACCAATTTAAAAACGGGGCCCAAAATCCAAAAACTTAATACACGGTTAGATTCAGCATATTAAAGAAACCCAAGAATTCAAGAATAAAACCCCATTGAAATTGATCAAGAAATAAGCAATTTATACGAAGTATCTTCTTTTGCACAATACTGTGCAATTGAATATTTCTTGCTATTGTGCAATACTGTACAATTGACAATTTCTTGCTATTGCGCAATATTGTGCTATTGGATATTTCTTGCTATTGCGCAATAGAAGATTTCTTGCTATTGCGCAATACTGTGCAATTGAAGATTTCTTGCAATTGTGCAATACTGTGCAATTGAAAATTTCTTGCTATTGCACATTCTTATTATATAATAATTTACACATCCTGTTTGATGTGTATCTCCTACCATATCATTATTATTTGCTTTTAAATATTAATCAGAAATAACCAACTTAAAATGGAAAATTTTAAAAGAAAAAAAAAAGGAAAAAAAGAAAAAAAAAGGAAAAAAAAAATCCCCCCCCCCCAAATTTTTTGAACCCCCTTATGATTCATCACCCCCAAACTCAATCCCAGCCTTCCCTTTGTGGTATGGTACCTTGCAGTACAATTTCAGAGAGATCCATACACTTGAACACAAGTTATTGTCTGGAAACTAGAAAAATGCTTATTTTTGGCCCCTTTTTGGCCCCCAATTCCTAAACGTTTCGGGCAATTACCCCCAAACTCAATTCCAGCTTTCCCTTTGTGATATGGAACCTTGTAGTACAATTTCAGAAATATCCAAACACTTACACACAAGTTATTGTCCTGAAACTAGAAAAATGCTTGTTTTTTGCCCCTTTTTTTGCCCCTAATTCCTAAAATTTTGAGGCAATTACCCCCAAAATCAATTACAGCCTTCCCTTTGTGATATGGAACCTTGTGGTACAATGTCAGAGAGATCCATACACTTACACACAAGTTATTGTCTGGAAGTTACAAAAATGCTTATTTTTGGCCCCTTTTTGGCCCCTAATTCCTTAACTGTTGGTACCATAACCCCCAAAATCAATCCCCACCTTCCTTTCGTGGTATTGAACCTTATGGTAAAATTTCATGGAGATCCATTCACTTAAACTAAAGTTAGAGTGCGAAAACCAATGTGTCTTCGGACGACGCCGGACGACGACGACGACGACGACGACGACGACGCCAACGTCATACCAATATACGACCAAAAAATTTTCAATTTTTGCGGTCGTATAAAAATCCATAACTCCTCAATGTCATATTATACATGACTAAAGGGATGTTATTTAAATAGATATAAACCAGTCACTAAATTTTCACGAAAACTGGAAAATCCCCCTTTTTTAATGAATAAAACCCCATAACTCGGAAACGTAAAATCCAAAATTTATAAAAATCAAAAGGGAGCTCAATTCAATATATATAAACAACTCACCAAAGTTTTATGCAAATCGGTTAAAGCATTTTTGAGTTATTGTCCGACATTTTGACAATGATGGACAGACGTACAGACGGACAATGGTTTACCATAATAAGTCCTGTAAATGGGCGTATAAAAAAAACAACAAAAACCAAGAAAACTAGAGGTCAACATACAACCTTCAACAATAGACAAGTGTCTGCAACATATGTCAAGCTTTAATCACCCTAACCCCTCAGTAGTACTGCACAAGTTACAACCTTATGGTTCACCCTTAACTACCCATCTATTGAGATATTAGTTACTTCCGACTTTGGATAGCATCTCACCCGTCTAAAGTTCAGTAAATTCAGAATTTAATACATGCAAATTTTGACAATTCCCATTTATAATGAAAGGTTGATTAATTCAGAAAAAACAAGCATTTTGAGAGTATTGCATTGCAATACATAGTCCCCTACCGGGTAAAAATTCATTTTACTGGAACAAAATGCTAACTTGTTCTATAACTTGTCATGGTGTAAACAAAAAGTAAATATCATGTCAATATCTTCAAGATTGACTAAAAACAGTGTGGAAAACTGATTATATGAGTGAAAAAAACATTAGATAAGATTAATAGTTCTCTAAAATTAGATATGATGTGATACAGTGTATATCTATTTTCAAATTATAATCAAATATAATTAATAGTTCCAAATATTTTTACTTTCATTTGTCACAAACTAATATAGATTTGTAACTTATCTATAAAATATACATTAATAAAAATAGATTATTATCTAATTAAAGGATTTCTCTTCATAATTTTTTTTATATCTATAGCATTAAGAAAACTAGTTTATACTAAATAACAAACAAACCTGCCAAAAAATTCTTCAAATAATTTAACAAAGAATGTCTTTTAAAAAATGAGTTATCTCCCTTTGTACAGAAATATGGTTTAACATAGTACTCTAACATTAGATATGGTCCAGAGTTATGGTCCATAACTCTGGACTCAATCATCAGACCGGAACAAAATTCGAACTTGATCTATAACTTGTCATGATAAAACTATATACCAAATATCAAATCAATATCTTCAAGAACGAAGAAAAAAAGTGTGGAAAGCTGATATGCCGGACTGACGGATGGACAGACCGACGGAGTGCAAACCTAAAGTCCCCTTCGACTTCGTCGGTAGGGGACTAAAAACCACTCTTTTTAATTCTAATGTGTCTTACGTGCATTTCTGGATTAACCTTTATCAGGAATGCTAAAACCAAAAACTTTGAAAGTTGAGGACAATTAAATACGAGAATACATGATGAGCTATACATCCAAAAGGGTCAGAAAAAGAAAGGCCAAATTCATCTATAATGGTCAAATTTGCCTGAGGGAGTGACTGAGATGCGACTTGTCAATGTTATGGTAGTACAAATGTATATTAATTCCATGAAACTCTGATGTTAATCCTATCTGCCATATGTTTTTAATTTATTTCTAAGTTTAAAAAATAATTATTTCAATACATATATTCTTTGAGGTCAACAATCTATGATAAACTGTTCATCCAAGGATAACTGATTCATAGTGTTGACAATATTCTACTCAAAATGACAGATATATTTATATCTTCTAAAAGCAATTAACCTTTGACAGAAAAGTATTACTATGGATACATTTATTTTCATGGGTACCAATATTTGTGGATAGTGGAAAACTTGCATTTTCGTGGATACTTGATTTCGTGGTTTTACCAATGTCTCTATACATTTGTAATTCTTTGAACATTTAAATGTGTGGTTCACCTGTACCAACAAATATTGGTATCCAAAAAATAAAAATGTATTCACAGTATTCTATTAACAAAAGTTCAACAATTCTGAACCATTTGAATTGTTTTTGTTTTTGTTTTTCATTCATTTAATGGGGAAATGAACATGAAAATTACATTGGCTGTAAACCAATCAAAATCCATTTTTTTTCTTCATCTATTATTTGATAACTTAAGAATAGCAGAAATCTTACTTTTGGCTCTACTTTTTCACCTTTCTCCTGTTTTTCATAAAAATCTGTTATTACTCTTCTGATATTTTCTTGAACCTGAAAAACATGATCAACTATATATAATTAAACAAATCAGATTACAACTTATAATTGCCCCCAATTCAATATAACTTAAAATCCCAAATTAGTTGAACCTATTTGTTTTTCTCAAATTTTGTTCTATATACCGCCTTTTGGTGTGCATAGTACGCAGATTTTTACCCTGGGATAGATTTCTGAAAAGGGGGTGCTTATTATGTATGGCTACACTATTCTTTAGACTTTTTTTTCAGGTCTGAATTCCGACCAAGAAACCAGGTGGTCAGGAGGAAAATATTTTTGCATAAATTTGATAGTTGTTATGTTTTACATGTTTATTTGTACCTTCTTGTATCTGGTTTGTTACTGTTTGTAATGTTATATGCAAATAACAATCATTTAAATGCTTTAGTGGTTGTTTTTTACGTTTTCTTGTGTTCTCCGTTGCCTCCCGGAAGTTACATTTGGTCATGTCCAAATGAGAGATGAAGGATTCTGTCAATGACCAAATTAGTGCAGGTGTTTCTCAAGTTTATAACTTACTTTGTACATGTGTTCTCACAGGGAATATAGAAGGTAATTGTATGAAAATTGAATGAATCATGCCCTCAGGTTATCAGTGACTTTTAATGTTATAAAGTTGAATAAAGTGATGATTTTATTCACGTTTTTACTTAGTGACATTTTAAAAACCTAATCGATTTTCAATAAGAGTGTGATAAACGGATTAAATCATTCAATGAGTACCAACAAACAATTAATAAAATAAGAAGAGAGATTAATATTTATTTCAGCACTAACTTATCAACATAATTATTACCATTCATTTATTTATTGTGTATTTCAAGTTTCGATGGTAAAAAAAGGGTGTGTACTATGCATGACTGCATTTTATACACACCAAAAGACAGTACATTAATTTTAAGTTCAATACCTTTATTGAGTTGACTTCAAATGAGCTTAACGGTTGCCCTGAACTAATTTGTTATCTCTTTAATTGGTTTTCATTTCAAACACTTCATTGGAACATTCAAATTCAGCTCACAAAACACACAAATAAAGCAGAAATATGTAAAATAAACATGTGTACTTTAATGATGCTGATGCAAAAATACATATGCACTAGATAGAAAATTGTAATGGTTGAGGGTACCTTATTAATTTTATTAGGTGTTGTCCCCAGATGGAGATCTGTCAGTAATTCTGTCATCACTTTTATAAATTCATGTTCCTGCTCCTCATCATCTAAAATAAAATATATCTATTATCTGCATATTTCTTCTTAAGTTTAAAGTTTTTTTTTCATAAACTACAAAAGAGCACGATTTTAAAACAACATTTTTCATTCAAATCAAATTCTACCATGTTACGATTAAAAAAAATGTGTTAATATCAAATTCAAAAGGAAAACCATCTTAGAAAATGAATTCAAAATTCAATTTTCTTTATTACTTATTGTGAATTGTTGAAGTAAGTTTTGTCATTTTCTACCGTCAAGGCAAACATTTTGTTTGTTTATTACATTTGTTAAAAATGATGAAAAAAAATTGATAAAATGAAGTCAGCTGTGACTTGTAATAAATCAAAATAAATTATTTCTGCAACAAGTTTTTGTTGTTAAATTTCTGGCAAAATTTCCACCTGTCTGTTAAACTTTGATTGATGAATGGTTTAGTTTTGATATCTGTGATATGTACTATGTCCATAGGTATAGCTTTTCACATATTTAGAAAATGCATTACAACATTTTTGAACTAAAATTGCATTTCTGAACTCAATAAAATATGTTCATAAGTTTAAAATGATTCCCTAATTTCAAACCATATATGTTTAATACCAAGCAGACATTTGAAACTGACTCAATGGTGAAATTTTCTTTTACCAGAGGAAAGATATAAATTAACAAACACTAAATATTACCATCATCATCTTCATTTTCATGTTCAAAGATCTGTTTTATTTCAATGAGTTGTGATTTGATGGACGACAGTGTTTCTGCAGGCAGTGATGTTAACAATATTTGAACTTTTTTCTCACACTGGTTGGATAAAATCTCTAGAGCTTCTAAATGAGAAATTCCTACAAAGCAAGAAAAAATTTGCAATTATTCCAAATTAACATCATTATATTGTTTATTTCAAGAAAAATGTATATGTTGATACAAAATTTTAATACTAAATATACAATGAACTTTATAATTTTTCAGAAAGTTACTGACTGGGATAAAATGAACGATCTTTAAAACTTGTATCATCAATAAAGCAAAGGGATGTATCTCCTTTAATCAAATTTCATGGTTTTATCAACCAACTTCCACTGTATAACACTTCCCCCTTACTCCATATTGATGGCTTACGAAGTCTCTATATGGTACCTCAGTTAAATCATTTTGTCTTTGAAAAATCTGTATCAAACATCTTCAATTTGTATCCGGTATGAAAAATATGTACTTTGGAATATATCTGTAAATTTCCTTGATGAAATGAATTTTTCGGCCAACCAATATCATTTAAAACATGAATATTTTAAATCTTTCTTATTTCATAAAAGTAAGTTTTTTTCAAACTTTTATTGGAATATCCAATGGAAAATGTGTATTAGAACAAAAATCCTTATTGCTGAAAAGAGTTACGGCAAATTACCTTGAAATTCATCAAACAAATACCCAAAGTGAGACTTTCTTGCCTCCTCTGACTCTTTCTCCATTTCTGCTTTATATTCTGACTCCTCTTTTGCCTCTTTTAAAACCGAAGACAGGTTTGGTTTATCTCCCCTTTCAAGTAATACTTTGGATCTGTGTATTCCTGGGTCATGATCTTCAATAAAATCAAATGCCTTCTTGCCAACTGTTTCTAACACATCCATGCTTCCTGTCACTAGATTTTTGCTCTGAAAAATATATAGGACATTTTCATGCCGCTGATCAAAGTGGAGAGTATGTGACTATGTTGTCCCTTTGAAATTGTTTAGAATTTATAACATATACATTTCTTAAAAATAAAGCCATTGTTGTGTTATATCTTACTATTTAAAAATGAACTCACTAGCTCTTGCCATGGCCTCTATAGATTGTATGTACCGGTATACAAATTAATCCCTTTTTTAAAGAAACATCAGTTTTTCTGCAAAAGATCAGTGGTTCTCTCTAGGTACACTGGCTTCCTCACCAATAAAGATGATCGCCTTAATATAGCAAATAGTGCTGAAAATGGCTCTAAACACCAACAATCAATAAATCAAACATTGAAGAAACTTCAATTAATAGTTTACATTTGTCATTATACATAATAATATATAATAAATCAACTTACTGTACTCTGTACAATGTTAGAGGTCTTTGCCACAGCATCCTTTAAACTTGACATTCCCCATGATGAGAACCATCCCCCTCCTCCTCCTGAAGCTGTATCCTCTTTTGCCTCTTCAGCTTTCTCTGCCTTTTTATCTTCACACTCTACCTCAGCTTTCTTCTCTTCTCCTGGTTAAAAATATGTGTCAAATTTCTTTATTGACATTTTCTTTTTACTTTTTCAAAATGACTCTTCAGATAAAATAACAAACTTGATAATAGATACATTTTTTTTATATATGATTCCGATTTTTATGATTTGTGAAAAAAAAAATACATTATACATGTGAATTGTCAGGAAATGTTGTTGAGGCGCTAGAAAAGAGGAAAAGGTTGGCCAAGCTTTTCCAATGTTTTGTAGTGACGATCTCAAATTCAGGACCTTTAATTTGTTTTCAATTATATTGCTTTATGAAGATGTATATATTCATATGTATTCTACCTTAGTGTGAAGTTTGATTATTCCTTTCTCCTTTCTATTAAAATCCTTCAAATAGTTAAGGATTTAAGTGCTCACAAAAAATATAATATACAATGAATTATTTCTGTATCTAAGATGTCAAATCATAATTATTTTGCTTCTTGCACATCTAAATATGCTATATTGCCTCTGTGTGAACATCTTTGCTAGCCAAGGGTTACGATCCAGTCCCCTCCTCTCCACCCTAAGCAGATTAAGCCAACATTTGAAATTACAATGCTACGCCATCTACCGATAGATAAAAGTCCCGCCCATTCCGACTACATCATTCTTGACCAATGGCAGCACTTGAACTCTCTTCAGTGTGGAGATGTAAAAATGGTTGTGTTAAGTGTTTACAAAGAAGGAACCGAAAATATACATTGACATTCCAACATTTTCGCGAGAAACATACCCAGGAACTTCAATTAGTTGATTAAGAACTTTAAAATTGTCACTAAATATCGTCCTATGTTTTTTGGGGTAAAGACTTGTTGGGCAATCAGCATGTGGCAATTGTTTGTTTACATTTTCTACATTTACACTTGATCATCTCAAAGGCACGTTTTGATTGGATGCAGCCATTTACAACTGCAACCAATAGAATTTATTACCTTGTGGATCCGAATTTCTATCTTAATCCTTGGTTAGCGAAGATGCTGTGTGAAATTAGGCTTACACAATTTAAGTGACTAATAAACAAAGTGATTCCTATATGCTCCATCCCCTAGATTTGTTACCAACAGGTATACATACAAATATTTATACATTGTCTTTATAACAGATCAATTACCTGGTTCTACAGATTTTGGCTGCTCTGTAATTTCCTTTGAAGATGATTCAGAAGATGTCATAGTATGAGCTACATCATGAGATTCCAGAGCTTCATCTTCTTTTTTATCAGATTTCATGTAAGCCAGTTGTTCAGGTGGTATAGCACCCAATGTATTCTCCATTGTATCCATAATTGTATTGAAACCTTCTCCTGAAATATAACTTCTTTAATTTATTAGTTCATTCAACAATTAGAAAAAATACAATGAGCTTTTTATAATGTCACAAATACTGGGAAATGCTTGTAATAACCTTAGGACTTAAAGGTTGCACTTTGTAAATACAGCTTATTCACAAATTACGCCTCTTTTGGGGAGATATTTAAAATTCATAGATATTTTGTTTTGTTTACCTACTGGTTCCCAGATATTATGATTATTTCCATGTTTCATTTCATAGAGAAACAACTTGGGAATTTTACCAGTATAAACTAGTTTAATAGTAGTCAAAATGAATTCTCAGGAAGACTCAAAGTAAAGGGAGGGATAGTACAGAATTTTAGTATAAGTTTAAACTCCTAGAAGTTTAAGGTATATAAATGTTGAAAATATGCTGCACAATCCTATGTTTTGACCTTTGCAAAAAAAGTAGTGCATGTGAACTTGCATTCCAGGATATATTTTTTTTATGGAAAACTTCATAGTAAAAGTGGCACAGTTTTAGTTGTAAAAGGAGTTCTTAAGGGAAATTGCATTGTCTATATTTACAGAAGTGCTACCTATAAGGAAAAGTAAGACAGGAAAAGTTAAGGATTTATGAAGACAGTTCCTTTAAATCGACTTGATTAAAGAAAACTTGGGAGAATACAATGTACATTTTTAGGCCTGACAAAGAGATTTATGATCAACACATCTTTGCATTTTTAGCTATGATTTAAATCAAAATATTACCAGTATACATACATGTCTATTTAAAATCTTATTTCATAATCATCATGATTATATGAAAAAGAAATTTGTGGTGAATGTCAATGTGACAGTAACAAAACAAAATAACGATGGTAGAACAACAGACAATTCAAGTCTACAATGATAGACAAGTGCCCACACCATATCATTAGCCCTAATAAAATAGACAGTACTGAATATTCATATTAGTAACCAACCCTCTTTGTAAAAATCAGATGGTTTTTTTTAGGTGTCATGCAAAATGATAATTAGAGAATTTGTTTCCCTATAAGTCTGAACATTTGACTTTGAGAAAACTTTTCTAAAGTAAATCAGTAACTATGTGAGTTATCTCCTCTGATTTTGCTGTTTACCAATGCTTGATATTCACCTTTAACTTCCAGAGTTTGTAAGATTAGAAATGAAGATGAATATTGTTTATTAATGTTTCCAGTCAATTTAAAAGTGAATTAACATCTACACGTGTATTTTCTGTGATATTTGACTGATGATCATCTGATCCTTTGAAAAACAGTTTGTAACTGTACCAAATTGACTAATTTAGGGACTTATAATTTTTTACCTGGGAGGGAGGGGGTGGGGGGGGGGGGGGGGGCTGGTCAAAATGTAGGGGGGTCAAGTTTTTTTCTGTAAGTGGAAAAGGGGGTTCCAATCTTTTTTATCAACTCAAAGTGGGGGGATCAATTTTATCTCTAATGAAACATTTGTGAACTTTTGAATCTTCAAGTATATCCTACATATCATGTGTGTCAAAGGTAAGTGTTTTGCATGTTAAAATTTTGGCATGTTTAATAGAGGGGGGATCACATTTTTTTTTAACGTTATTAAGGGGGGAGATAAAATAAAATTAGTGAAATATTATGGGGGGATCGAGAAAATTTTATATGTTTGATTTCAAAATGACCAGCCCCCATCCCAGGTAAAAAATGATAAGTCCCTTATCTATGATACTAACCAACTTGATTTGTAAATGTTGAAACTGATGTCTGTGCTACATTCATGATGCTAGAACCCCATCCTCCAATATTCCAACTACTAGACTGTCATAAAAGAAATACAGTGAATGTCTTTACTTACAAATATATTTATGTATGTAATATAATGATTGGTATGTACAACGATGTAGATCATTTAAAGAAAACACATTTTTCAAATCATTTGCTTGAATTATATTTTGAAATTAATTACAGAGTAAACTTTCCATCCAACACAGGATTAAACATACATTTATGAATGTATATAAAAATTTATTTTAAAAAAGATTGACCTATATTTAAATATGACCTTTTGAATGCAGTTACATGATGTCCTTTTAATTGATTGATAGATGTTGAATATCCAGTGGCAAATATTTCAGGCATATTCAGGACTAGTACAAATAAGAAATAAATCAAATAGGTAGTTTAATTTCTGCAAAGTTCTGCTGGACTTGGATTGGTATTGCAATAATTAACTGTAGGTGAACACTATGTGAGGGACCTGAATTTTGACTGCAACTGAAAAAGGATTTAAAAAGGGCTGAAATTTGCCTTGAAACAGGTCACCTACATGTATGAACTTTTCAAAGAGTTATTGCAAGGATTTGTAAATATGCATGCACAAGGAGCACGGAATTGCTTGATGATTACAATGATGAAAGAGATATTTTTTATACTGTTTTTAAAAGTAAAAATAACCTTTTGATCTTCTTCCTCTTTTTCTTCATCATTATCATCATCATCTGCCAGTTGATCCAGAACAGATTTAATGTCCGGCTTCTCTGATCCTTCTCCAGATCCTTCCCTCTGTATGTTCTGCCCAGAAGGTGACTTTACAATGCTTTCTGTTTTCTCAGGGAAATTTGCACCGGCTGTTGACAACTCTTCGTTCTTTTCTGGTTCTTTTTTTTCTTCAACTTGTGTAGTATCTGCTGTTTTCTCTTCCTGGTTTTCTATGTCAGATTTTTTGCTTTCTGGTTTCTCTTCCTCTTTCACTGTTGCTTCACTTTTCTCAGACTTTTTACTTTCAGCTTCTTTTGTTTCATGTTTTTCCGTGCTCTTATTATTTTTTTTGGCCTGTTTTCCCTTTTTCTTTCCTTTCCCAGTTGCTCCTTTCTGTTGTGGTACTTCAGGATTTTTTGTTTTGTCAGTAGCATCCTTTTCACCTTTAGGATTAGTTTTTGAAGCTTGTTTCTGGTTGTCTCCCTTTCCTACAGACTTTGTTGCTTTATCCCCTTTATCTGTATCAGACTTTGTAGATTTATCTCCCTTTGATGGATTTTGCTTTGTTTCTTCTCCTTCATCAGCACTGGCATATGCAGCATCATCATCTGAATCTGACATTTTATCTACAACAGTATAAACGAACATTCAGAAGCATTCATAGACTTCAACGAAAAGTAAATCAGTTAATGGAAATAAGAAATATTAATCTACTGTTAAATTTGATGCTTCAACAGATAGTGCTAAGAATCAATTTATCTTAACTTAATATAAGATTTCACTCTTTAAACTTTCATTAAATAACTTATAATATGTAATTAATGGAGGTTTTGTATGCCATAAATTTAATTCTGATTGAACCCACTTCTTTCTTTTTTAGTTGAGTGGTACTATTCATTTGAAATACAATGTAACTACTTTATATAATTTGAAGGAAAAAAAACAGGATCAACATCATTTTGAAATTTTCATTACATTGATTGATTGTTGGTTGCTTAACGTCCAGTTGCAAAATTTTCATTACAATGTATATACATGATATACAGGAAATGACAGAGACCGGATTTTAAACAATTCTCACTGATACAACATAAATTATCAGTCTTCTTCCTTTCGAAAGACAAGAAATGTGAGTACAGGGAATCCGGGTCCATTCGATAAAAAATTTGGATCGCTCCCATTCACGTTCGCCCCCTTTCACGTTCGCACCCTTTTTATTGGTTTTATGTTGCATTATTTTTTTATCGTGTTTTACTTAGTGTATTGCTATAAATAAGTTTTTTATTGATTCAAAATAAAGTGACATTCTAAAAACGTAAACAGGTTCCTTACTTCATGCACTTTAACCGTACACAATCATTCAAATTATGAAATATTTCATTTAAAAAAAGCACTAAAATGTTTAGAGTAACTACATCATAAAATTTAAAAGAGCACTACAATATCTTTAAAAAAAAACCACTGAAACATCACATTATATGCCATTCACACACCAATACTATCTAATATGCACTAATATAAACAGTTTATTTTTAAAGAATTAATGTCTTTAATTCAAATAACATTAATCAAAGATGAAAGTCTACTGTGGCGGAAAATAGTCAACTGGTTTGTCTGATGATCCATACAGTCTTCATGAAATCCCCCCCAAAAAAGGATATTTCATTTTGAAATTCCCGAATTTTTATTAATGAAAATATAATTATACATCTAAAAAACATCTAATAATTCAATCGGTATTTGAATAAGATTAGGGTGCGAACGGACCCAGGGGGCGAATGTGTGGGGTGCGAATGTGTATGGGCACGAATGTGTATTGGGAGTGAACGGACCAGATACCAGTATTATAAATTGATTATAAATAAAGAATGAATGTGGATAACTTGTGCTGGATTTCTCCAAATTCATTATCAACTAGCATGACTGGCAATTAATATTCATATATTAAATTTATTTAATTTATTTAATTTCATGTTTCATACATAAAAGGTTTATCAAACTAAATTTGTTTTATCATGTTTAAAAAACATAATAAACGATAATATTAGGTGTCTACAACTGTATCCAAATGCTGACGTGACTTTAAATTGCTGCAAATCTCACTATTTTTAGCAAGTCCACGAGTCCTGGACTCATGAAAATCTGTATGGACTCATCATTTTCAAAACTAGTGAGTCCAAAGATGCATCAAGACCGTAAAATGTAATTATCAACTGAGCACACATACATGTACTTTGTCTAATAGATAAATGTATAAGTCCCAGACTTGTATCAGCATTTTATAGCAAAATTTAATAATAATCTAAATTCTATGTCATTTCTTTGCTCTATTTTGTCATAGAGACTGAAATAATAAACTATACAGCAATAAAATTTCTTCTTTACTGTTGACTTGCTATGGGAAAAATATACGAGTCCCTGGACTTGACCTGAAAAATTCTTAGTAAGAATCTACAATTAGACTTTTTCTATAGGTGACAAATTGACCAGGTGCGGATATGGCTTGTACACTAAGTCAAGTCTACATTTCTGTGTGTATACCACTGTTCAGCTGTTACAGCATGTACAGGGCTAGAAACAGTCAAAAGATATGTGACAATACAAAGGTTTTACTCCTGTCTATAATTTTAAGTACAGACATTAATAAATAAAATATGATCTACTGAGAAAAATAAAACGAAAAAAGGAAAAAGTAGATTAAAATACAAAATTATCCAAATCTGCAATCAACCCCTCAAAAATTGGCATTTTTCCAAGTAAGAGGGTTGTTTATCAACAATCAAAACACTTCTCCTTCTTAGTCGACAAATAGCTCATATAATGCAAAACTTACCTAAACTCTGCTTGTCAAACGTCTGCAAATGGAATATCGAACTATAATAAATTTCGTCACTCCAGCCACGTCGATTTGTTTTGCATTTTTATAAGCTTTCGGGTCATTGAGCAACTTGAAATAAATAGGAGCCAAATATCATTTTCAAACGCCCTAGAAACTTAGATGAAAGTGCTACATTTGGGTTTTCGGAGTTTTTCATAGAAACTAAGAAGAAACCAGAGGGCGAATGCTGTTTAGATTGTTTACAATTTATTAGTTAATATTATTGAGTAGACTTTAAAGAACAATGGCAGAGGTTAACAAGAATACAACCCATTAAGAATAAATCCAACTCTTTTGCTTTTAAGTCAATGGAATATCTGTCTGTCTTCTTTGTAATCGCATAGACACAATAAACCCCCCTTTTCTCTTTATTTTCAAAGTAAGGAACCGTATTCATGATCCTCCAACTGGTGCTTTTTTCTTAAAAAATGGGATGTCTCAAAGCAAATATCTTCATGTCAAAATGTCCCATGACACGTTTTCCCCTGAATGACCACATCAATCCTGGCAGTTCATTCAAAATTGGAATCTCGATGATAGACAACTTTCGAATTCGTGCACTATTCCCTAAATTGCCTATGTCACAATGCTTATGTTATTACGATTATTAGATGATGTTGTTTACGCCAATTGACGTAGGGTCAACCTGTGTAACTCATTCATGAAAAACAACTCGAGATTGGTGTATACATATATATCGTCAGATCATATGTTTTTCGTACGTGATATGAAATCGTACTATGCATGCTTTTTCAATGGAAATTGTGACGTCACAATGCATTGTAAATAGTACGAAAATCCATTATATGGTCCCATGAAAACTTTCTGTAGTGTCGGGCAACCCAGTTAATCTTTTCAAAGCTACTTACAGCAATAATTATAACCAATATGCAATTAAAATCTATGTATTAACTGTTTTCATTGTGTTGACTATCAACCCTGAAAATTATTCAGTACACATGTATGAATTATATTGTTCACTAATTAAACCTTTTTAAAACTTCCTTATTTACCATGAATACTAAGTTATTTTGAAAACTCATTGTTTCTTCTAATTTGTTTTAATTCCAATACCATGAATACATGTAGGTGCTATAAAATCATATATTTAATATTTCAAATGCAAAAGATCTAGATTTATCTTGTCGATAATAGAGTACTGAGTACATAAATGGTAATGATTCTTATGTTAAAAAAAATGGGAAATATTTAGTTTTACTCTGAAGGTGAACACCAAAAAATGTCGATAATAATGTTGAATAAAAAAACTAAAGTTGTGAGGCCAACTACTCCAGTTGAAAAAATTTCAAATCTCAGGTTATGACTAGACAATATAAAATAAAGAGATGTTGTATGATTGCCAATGAGACAACTATCCACCAGAAACCAAACAACATGCAAATAGATGATAGAAACTATAGGACACATTACAGCCTTCAACAATGAGCAAAACTCACACCACAAACATGGCGCAGGAAACTATATATGACTCTCACATGACAAAATGTAAAACAAGTCAAATGAGAAAACCAATGGCCTGTCAGATTTATGTACAAAACAACAAACGAAAAACAAATATGATCTACAACAGCAAATGACAAACTCTGAATTACAAGCTCCTGACTTAGGATAGGCACATGCAAAATGTGGAAGGGTTAAACATGTTTTGGGCACACAACCCTCCCCTAGAACCTAGGACAGTGGTGTAACAGCACAACTAAGAACAAATTATAAAAATTTATAAAGGGTTCAAGGAACTGTGTGCCTAGCCTGTGATTGCAGCTGTCAGTGTAAAAGTGTAATGTTGACTGTTAAAAGAGTCAATTTATCAGCATTTTAAAAAAAAATCAAAATTTTTCTTTAGATGCTGTTTCTTGATCTTGAGGATTATAGCTTCTGTCCAAGTTTCATAACAATCCACAACAAAGATTTACAAATTTATCATGTCAAAGTATAAGTCCATCCATCAGTTAAACACTGAAAATGAAAAATAAAAGTATTTTCAAAATTTTGCTTCAGACATTTAATTTCTTAAACATAAAAAAAGCTACTTCCATAGTTTTATAAAATTCAATGAAGGTTTGACAAAGGAATTGATGTGTAACAAAGTTTAATCCTATACTATATCTACTTCTTAAACGTTCTGTAAAAAAAAAAGTTATGTCCATTTACCAATAAAATGCTTAAAAATAAAAACAAATGTTTTCAAGATTTTGCTCTGGATACTGTCTTCTTGTCATAAACAAGCTTCTGTTTGAATTTCATAAAATTTCTTACAGGTTTGACAAAGTTGTTGATGTCTTAAAAAAATTATATCACAGAATGAACCTATATGTTGATGACACGGACGCAGACGACAGAATCTTGAATTGATTTGTCTCGCTTTCGCAACTGAACATAAGTGTCACAGGCTCAAAAAAATCGTTGAAAAGGGCTTGACTTGTCAGATTGATACAAAGCATAAAAAAAAACTTACAGTTAAGACACAAAGTACCCAAGCTGAAGTTCTCTGACACAAGTCTGAACTTTTCTAAATTACCAATACTGCTGTACAAGTAATATTGAAAATTAGGCTCTTAAATATTAGTTAGATAAGTTTCTTTTGAAAATATCATTTACAGAGTTGACTATTCATAAAGATTTTACTATCTCATGTTGCTTAATTTGTTTTTATTAGACATCTGGTAATTTTTCTCAAGAGGCATAACAACTTATTCTCCTGTACACTAATTGCCATTTATAAGAACACCTTTCGGTCAAAGATTTGTCTTTTGGTTCTATTGAAATTAATTTTCTTTAAAAATCTTGAGTGCAGACAAATATCATGAATATAAAAGAATGAAAATATTTGATTTTATTGAGACTGCTACTTTGAAATCTATATATATTGATCTTGAACTATATACAATGTAGTTGTTATAACTCTTTGTGGTAGAGCTTGTTTTTTCTTTAATGCTCAGGATATTTTCTGCTTGTACTAAGAGTAAGAGGTGTCTGTTTTTTAGGGAAACAATGTCCTATGTTCTTATGACTATTGTTATGACTTTCATTTATTAATTTTCTAGATTTCTTCATTTTAACTACATGTACATTTATAAATTAGATTATTTAGTATACCCCCACCTTCAAGTATTAACACATCCAGGCAGTATAGGTATTAAGATATCTTGCTGATTTTCTCATTGTACTTAAAATATAGTTTCTACATATTTATGATAAATTAATCCTTTAATATACATTCTTAGCTTATTTTCTACATCTTTTATATTAATGAATTAATATCCACATGAAAGATCATTATACAAAATGAATATTTATTTTCAGAAACCAGCACCCGGAGATCACAGACGAAAGTGGGACAAGGATGAGTTTGAAAAAATTGCTAAAGTTCGATTGGAAGAAGAACAAAGGAAACTTCTTGAAAAAGAGTTAAAAGAACCACCTATCAAAAGAGAACTATTAAAACCTAGAGAATATAAAGTATGTTAAACAAACTTAATACATTTGATTGAAATTAATATCTTCAGAATTAGAGAAAAAAAAATAATCATATGAATGAATATCTTTGTGGAAATATTTCAAAAGGGAATATACAGTTTTCAGCCATGAAGAAGACATTACCATGTACTTGAGGAAGAAAGAGCTGATACTGAAGAGGGACTTTAAGCAAAATCCCCAGGATAATGGTTTATAAAACCACATATTAACATCAGTCTTTTTGTCAGGTCAAAAAAGCTGCTAAATAGAAGTGAATACTTTTTATAAATATTTTAGCAGCATCTTTATTAAACATTTGTGTAGAACAGGTTATATATATTTACAATTACTAATATGTGATTTAGCACACAACTACTTACAAACTGATAAGATCTTATTTTAAGTTTTTATAGTTGTTCTAATTACTGTATCTGCTGTTCTTGTTTTAGGTAGATTTAGATTCTAAATTAGGAAAATCTCAGGTTATCACAAAGCAAACACCTCAGTCAGGACAGGGAGGGTAAGATAACGTTTTATTTATCTATATTAGTCTGAGATTTTAGAGTTTGATGTTTAATTACTTTTATTGTAAGGAGGGGCCTCGGTGGCCTAGTGGTCAAAGTAGTTCATCTACAGAAATCACAAGCCTGTCAACACTGAGGTAGTGAGTTAGAACCACCCCTAGGGCAGGTGCCTTTGACTCCTATCTTAATTGACAAGAATTGCCAGTTTCCTGCTGAAGGTCAGTGGTTTTCTCTGGGTACTCCAGTTTCCTGCTGAAGGTCAGTGGTTTTATTCCGGGTACTCCAGCTTCCTCGACTAATAAAAACTGGCCACCACGACATAGTCATGAGTGCAACGCCAACAATCAACCAATCAATCTATTTTTAGGGACTTGAACTCATGACAGGTACCTAATTGAGAACTACACGATCAGATGAACTGATAATTATTTTTTTATTCATAGTTTATGTGAATTAGAATTCGGTAAAAAAAAATACAACTCTGATTTTATTTGGTAAATGTACATGATACTACATCACCTACAAAATGTGTTATATTAAAGGTGTAGAATAATATATTTATCAATCTGTGTATCCTCAACACAAAGAAAGTACTTATACATTGTATTTAATTCTAGTACCATAAAACAAGTCATCGTTGGTTCCATAGGTTTGTACAGAGGAAGCCTAAATCCATCTCTGTGTAATGTCATAAACCAAAATAAAATCATAGAATAAAACAGTGATGTATTATGTCAAGGAAAGTTATTTATTTTTTACTTATTCCCTGCAGTCACCGGAGGGGTATTTAGTGTAACCCTTGTCCTTACGTATGTCCCAAAATTGGTTTCAGTTCTCTAACTTTAGTTTGCCTCAGCCAAATGTTATGAAACTTATACACAATGCTTATTACCACAAAGCACAGGTCAAGTTCGAATTTGGGTGGCATCACTTTTACTGTACTCGGTTATGCCCCTTTATAACGTTATATGCAAGCGGGGCATCATCTGTGTCCCATGATATTCAATTTATCACAACAGAACTCCTTCACTTTGTTTATCTCATGATTGTTAAGTTTCTTCTGATGCTTTATTACCTTAGATTTACTGTAGTATTTTTGTTATTTCAGGTATTATTGCAATGTCTGTGATTGTGTTGTTAAAGATTCTATTAACTTCCTTGATCACATTAATGGAAAAAAGCGTAAGTTTTATAGATAAATTTTGCTGTAATATACCTTAATCCACTGCTTTTCTCCCTTGCTCACAAACAAAAAATATTCAGGAGCCAGTTGTGGATAAATAAACAGCTAGTATTTTAATCATATTCAAGATGTTAGACATAATTGTAGTGTTGGACATTTTTTCTGCAAGTAAATGGAATTCTTTGCAAAGTTATCCAACTTATATATTGATTTATCGTCAAATGTTGAATACTGTGGATTCCTTTTTTTTTCCAGGGGAACCAATTTTTCGTGGATTAAGGTTTATAGTTTCCATTTTCGTTGATATTTGATTTTCTGGTTTTGCCAAAGTCTACATACAAGCAAATAGAAAATTTGTAATTCGTTGAGTATTTAAATTTGTGGTTCGCCTGTACCCATAAAATCCACAAAAATTGGTATCCAAGGAATAATAATGAATCCACAGTATTGATAAAGATTTTTTGGTTCATAACTCAGACTCATCATGATATCAATTTGGTGATATATTACAATGTGTAATAAGCTAAATACAGTCTAATTATAGTTGGGTCATCATAGACTTGAGTGGCCCGGGTTCATTTCTGTCTTTTAAAGCACGAGATCAAACCTTTAAAAGAACAGCACCCTGCTGGCAACTAACATTGCATCAAGGACCATCAGTGTTTTTGCATTAAACATGAAATTTCTAAAGAGCCCCTCTGCTTGAATCTTATACTGACTGTTCATGTAGAAAATCTGTTGTGGTAAAGTCCTATACAACATATTTTCTTTGGTATAGTTGTACTAAGTTTGGCTTATCTGTCTAAAATTTCTTATATCATTTCAGAAACAAATAACTATAAAAGTACATTAAAAGACAGGATGCCATTTTCTTTACATGTCCTGCCTATGATAGTAATGCAATTTAATCAATACTCTTTTACAGATTCTTTTCAAACAATCACTAACAAAAAAACAATATCAGAAAAAGTAGTACATTTTCTTTTTTTTTATTTTAACATAACAGTATTGACCATGTTTTTTTGGGGTAGCAATCTGCTCTATCATCCTTTTAAGGAATGACTGTAAAAAAAATTCTGTCTATAAAGAAATAACCTCAAAAATGTGGTGCACACTGAATAACCCACGTAGCAGGTTTTTTAAAAGTGTGCACCACATTTTTAGGTTATTTTGAATAGACAGAAAAAATGTAAGTCATTCCTTTTACTAGTAATTTAATTCTAAATTCTAATTTTAAGAAGTAAATTATGAAAAAACGTTGATGACGTCACGGTCACATGGCAACATTATGTCAATGAGCTAATAGACAAAAGACTTTCAGCCAATCAAAAGACGTGTTACATCCAGAATAAAATTATTCAGCTATGTGTCATTTAATTTATTATACTGAATGTTCTGTTATTACTGTCTATTAAATTTCAAATTCAAAGTAATAAACTATTAACGTCTTGTACATAACAATCATCCACATTTAATAAAGCGCACAATCTATCAAGTGTCTCCATGAAAGGTAATAGAATATTTGCCATTGGATATAGTAAATCATCACTAAAACAATCAAAATCTGGCATTTTGACATGAAGTATAATAATATAAAGTATTTTTATAAAATTGATATCAAAATTTATTTTTTAGGTTAATAACATATTGCAAATGTCAATACAGAATTGTGGCACATTCAATTTGTTTGCCGCCTTTTATAATTTTATATCTGAAATTTGTACTAGATGATGGTTTTTTTCCTTTTTTTATACAAAGATCAAAGAAATTTGGGAATGTCAATGAAAATAGAAAGGTCAACATTAGATCAAGTGAAGAAAAGATTTGAAAGTAACATGAAGAAAAAAGAAGAAAAGAAAAAGGAATATGATTTTGAGGAGAGAATAAAAGAATTACAAGAAGAGGTAAGTTACAACTGATCATGTATCAAAGATTTAACCACCTTCAGAAAGTCAACAGTTTAAAATTGTGTTTTATTCCAGTTGACTGACTTTTCAGTAATTTAAGATTGAATTTTATTCGTTGATCAACATGCATTGTTCTAGTTGACTGACTTTTCCCATACAACAAATTTAGTTTCAACATTAAGCCACATTAAAAACCCATGTGCACAGTGTTGCCAATATATGTCCATAGTACACCTCGCCTTACATATGAATTCCCAGATATGTATGTTCTAAATTTTGTGTGCCTTCTGAATTTAAGAAATATATATTTGCTAACCATATCGCATGCTGAGGGCAGTGCACTTACAAATTAATTTATGTTGATAATTGGTTCCAAAACATATTTAAGCATTACATATATGGTAAAAATCTGTGGATGATGGAGTCATCTGAACAAGTGCTTTTAAAGATCCCCTATGTACTTTTTTCTGAAACAGCTCTGATTTAAACAGAATATTCTTTTTGTGAATTTTAATTACACAATGGAAAAGGAAGAAAAGTATTTTGCTGCAAAAGTAATTCAAGTGTTAAATCTATTTTCTATTGTTTTTAGGAAGAAAGACAGAAATCATACAAAAAAGAGAAAAAAGCTGACAGAAAAAGAAAGGCAGAAGGAGAATTGAACTTAAACATTGATCCAGACATGGCTGCTGTCATGGGATTCTCAGGGTTTGGGGGTTCATCAAAATGATTTAATCTGTTTGAACGAATCAGCAAGATAAGAGAGTGTAAGAATAGTGAGACTATCATTTTATACATGTTTTTGTGTGATGGATGAATGAGTTTAAAAGATTTTTGTGAAACAATTTAGATGCAAGCTTGTTCATGTAGTTTGAATTGGAGATCAGAGAGAATTGAAACATTTGTGGTATAAAACGAAGGCAACACGAACAGTCATACCGAGAATATCAAACATAAATCAATAGTTTATACATTATCATGTTCTAGTGGAACCTGATTTGATTGCTCTGTATTTAAAATATGTATGACTTGTTTTGCTCCTGTTAAGCAGTAACTGTACTGCTGCTTTACTCCCTACCTCTTATTATTATTTGAAACTATCACATACATATTTTGCTGTTAAAAGTCATCCTCATCTTTATATAGCATTTGTATTTAATAATGTTGAAATTGCTAATAAATGATATTAACGATTGATTTTATAAAGAACTTGTATTTTCATGATCTATATCAACAATTTTTTTTATATTCTGTAAGGATCAGCTAAGGGGAATATTATTTAAATATTTATCCATCAAGATTTAGGATTCAAGTTTGCTAATATCTTTTTATTTTACATGATAGTTGTACATATTCCTACATAAATTTTAGCTGTATTTTGATTTAGTTTTTTGTTTTTTTCACAAAATTGCAGGTTTTATGTTTATGAAATTTAAAAATGTGTGCCTGCCTGAGTCCTTGTACCCTAAATTTTTTAACTGTAAACTTTTCATTTTACTGGCTTTTTATTTTGTCATCAATGGAATACATTTTGTCAGATTTTTCACTACCCATGCAAGTGGTTGCCTGATTTTTGTGTATGAAGTTTTGCAAACAAGAGACATATCTGAAAATACATTCATAAATTCCACTCATTGTTGAACTAGGGGAGGGGGCATATGTGAGTACGAGTAGATAGTCATTGTTTGAACAAAGCATAATTTTCTTACAGAATTATGTAACATTTAAATGAAGAGATTGATGAAAACAAAATGAATTCTTGTTTTTAATTGTGTGTATAATTTCTATTCCATTATAAAAAGTTTGTAAAATGTTTTTATGTTTTAAACAGTACAGCAAAATCAGAAAAAAATGTTTGTCTTGTGTCTTTAGTTAAAGTATGGTATGATATCTTTGCTGAGGGAGTCTTTTTTCAGGGGTGTAGTAAAAGGTTGTTATGTCAATCATTAATTGTAACCCTGCAAAATTATGATTTTTTTGTTATAAAAAATTCCTGCATAGCTTGAATTGTACTTGCTAGTACCAAAAAATTTAAACAATTATGCATCACAATTCTGAAAATGAAATCAATTTTAGACCAGCAAAATTGAGTCCTTAACACAGAATAAAGCAATTAAACTTGACCTATAATTTCTGAAATCCATGTTATTTGGACTCTGTTTGGTAGTTGTCTCATTAGCAGCCATACCACATCTCATTACTTTATATAGTTCACTTTCTTTTTTATGTCCCTGCCGCTATGCTCATAAACAATGCTGAGAACCAAAACTTGCATACAGAGTTCAAATTTGGGCAGTGAGTCACTTACTGTTCTAGAGTTATGCCCTTTTATAACTTCGAAAATTGCCAATTTTTTTTTGAAAAATTAAAAAGGTGAAAACCTTTCTAGAAAATATTTATGAGATATTTCCATCATCAATTGGAAAGTCAGTTATTGCTGGTGATTTTAACATTGATCCAGATTACATAAACACAACATTCGATCAGTTATTCCAAAATTTCAGCGTTCAGAACTACGGTATGAACAGTTGATTACAAAACCTACAACCACATCAGGAACAATGCTGGATCTTGCTTTATCACAGCAACCATAAGACAATGCTTCATTTGGGACTTACTATTCAGACCATCATATTGTGCATATTTTGTTTCAGTGAAATAAGTTTTACACATTTTTTCTGAAAGCCTTCATATAACTGACAGGCATAGTAGTAACATAAACAGTATATAGACATCACCTTCAAATAATGTGAAAACCTTTCTAGAAAATATTCATGAGATTTTGCCATCATCAATGAGAAAGTCGGGTATTGCTGGTGATTTTAACATTGATCCAGATAACATAAACACAACATTCAATCAATTATGCCAAAATTTTAGTGTTTAGAAATATGAACAGTTTATTTCAAAACCTACAACCATATCAGGAACAAAGATAGATGGACTTCTTAATGAGACCATCATATTATGAATATTTGTTTCAATGAAATAGCTTTTATGTATTAGGTAGATAACAGCCATTATAATATCATAAAAAATAAAAATATACCAGGACAAAAAGTGTGATCTTCACTTAACCACTATTTATGTCATACATCCTTTGTTTATCAACTAAACAAGTAAAGCTAACAAAGAGATTAGAAGTAAAAGAACCAAAGCATTATTCAAGAACTGAGAAATTCACTGCACACAACAGAACTTATCATAAATCTTATTATATAAGAAATAAACACAAAACAGTGAAAATATCAAAATAGCACACAGCACAAAAATACCTGACTAGAACAATAGAACTCTTTCAAAACTAGCAGCTACATCAAATACAATCAAAAAGTATTTTAATGTATTATAAGCAAGCTTGAGCTGGGCATTCGTGTCCTCAGCCACATCCTTCTTTTATTTCAATATTTCTTATTGCAATGGTTTACATGCAATTTCAGTGGACAATGTAAATTAAAATAAAATGGAGAATGTGTTCATGGGACACAGATGATGCCCCTGCTTGCATATAAAGTTATAAAGGGGCATAACTCTAGATCGGTAAAAGTTATGTCACCCAAATTCGAACTTGATCTGTGTTTTGTGGTAATCAGCATTGTGTATAAGTTTCATAACATTTGGTTGAGGCAAACTAAAGTTTAGAGAACAGAAACCAATATTGGGACGTACATATGAACGGACAAGGGTTATACTTAATGCCCCCTCCGCTGCAGCAGAGGCAAAGAAAATGTTTTTTGTCCAAAGCCAGGAATACTAAAATGTGTATGACATGCAAATACATTTGAAAAGAACTGCTGTAATGTAGTGGTTGTCATTGGTTGCTGTCTGCCATATTTCTGTTTTGTTCAATGTTGTAGTATAACTCAGACTATTGGTTTTCTCTTTTGAGTTGTTTCCTGGCCTTTTACAGCTTTCTATAAAATTGGTTTTGTTAATTGTTGAAAAAAAGTTCTTGTAGTTGACTCCTTATTAGAGTTATTGCCCTTTGGTGATGATTTGTACCAATTTTTTTTGGCGTTTTGCCTTATATCCTTAAAATTATAATAAAAATAGAATCTTAAATGATTAAAATTGATCAGCAAGACAAGATCTATGATTAAGACAAAATGGTGGAAATCGTCCAACGACTCTTTATTTGAGTTATAGCCCTTTAATGACGATTTTTACCATTTTTTTTGTGTTTTGCCTTATATGATAAAAATTATAATAGATAAATAGACACTTAAAATCACAATAATGATCAGCAAGGCAAGATCTACTAACAAGTCAAATTTTGCCGATATAGTTAGTAGACTGTCACTCTTTATTTGAGTGATTGCACTTAAATGAGGATTTTTTTTACCCTCTTTTGTGTTTTGAGCAAAAACTAAAGAAGATAAAGAGAAAGTAAACAGACTAAATGATAGTAATACAAGATCAACAAAACAGAGATTCTTGTCATGAATTCTATTCTCGTCTTCAATGTTGGAGAGTGTCCTTTGTTGAATATGCACATAGAGCAAGGGAAGCGACAGAGGCTCTTTAGTGCCTCTTGTTTTTATACTAATATTTCACCATCACAAAGTTTTAATGGATTGTACTTGCTAAATCCTTTTTATTTTATCGTAAGAATAGTCTCATACACATTTTTGTTTAGGGGCCAGCTGAAGCCCGCCTCCGGGTGCGGAATTTTCTTGCTGTGTTGAAGACCCATTGGTGGTCTTCGGTCGGGTTGTTGTCCCTTTGACACATTCCCCATTTCCATTCTCAATTTCATCTTATTTTACATGGAACATCATATAAAAGCAGAAAGATTTTTTTCCTGTAATCTCATCAGCTTCAACACCCACATTTAATTTGATGACAGGAAATTCAAAATATAAAACAAATTAACAGAGTACATGATGTTGATCAGTAACAGATCCTGCAAACTGTTTAAGGATTGTTTCAAGGTATCTTTTAAAATATGTTTCATAAATTAAAAGCTTAAAAAAATTAAGACATGATTCTATTTTATGGGGGTTTTCTACTGTTACTAACCCCCAACCCAGAATCTGCTGTTGAATATTTACACTTTTTTGAGAGGGAGTGAGTATAAGGCTGAGTTTTTTAAAAATTTGGAACAAAAATGTTTAAATACAGACTCAAAATAATAAAAATAATACTCCAGGATGCACTTACCAAGAAAAAAGTCTCAGATGACATTATAAAACACAGCATATGAGATCATATTCTAGTGGCCCTCTTTTCCAATTCTAAAAATTAAAAAAATGCTCCCTTATGTTAACTGACCAATTACTTAGTCTAAACAATTTTATTAATTTGTTTCCCTAGGGTTAAGTTTATAACTAAACTTTTTCATGAATTATATCAGATAAGGGAGATTATTCTGCCAAAAAGGTTAGAGGATTACAAATGCACTTCATTAAGTGGTGCAATTAAATAACATAAAATGATTGATTAATTGTTGGTGCTTAATGCCACTATAAGCACTTTTAGCATCCAGTTTTTATTGGTGGAGGAAGCAAAGTGTACCCAGAGAGAACCACCAACCTTTGATAGGAAAAATGGCAATCTAGTTAATTAAGATCAAAGTAGAGTGCACTTTGCCACGCACAGGGTTTTAAATCAAAATTTCAGTGTTGACAGAGACTAGTGATCACTCTATATTAACTGCCTAGACCAATCAGCCACAAAGGCCCCTCTATAAGTTGAAGAAAGATATATAATAATACCATGACTAAAGAAGTGATGACAATATAAATAAGTCTACATAACACTTGACAGAAAACTAAAAAACTAAACACTGGGTTCCCACTCTTAGGGACAAAAAAATCCTCATTTTTCAAAGCTTTCTCCATGACGTTCACATATTTTGAAGAATGGTATAAGAAGAAACCACTGGTAAATTTTGACATGATGAAATTTGGACAGGTTACCCTGTATAGAAATATTTACTCAGTGTAAAAGGATCATGAGATTTGTGCTGGAGCTGCAAAAGTGACTTGAATTTTAAACCATGATTGTTAAACTTAAAAATTCAATGGTTTTCTTCATTATTGCAAATTTCAAGGATATTTTCATTCCAGCCCTTGGACCAATGACATAAAATTACAGGCTTTTTTTCCAGAATTCAAAGTAGAGTGGGATCCCTGTAAACACAAAGCAATACAAAACCAGAAAGATAAGCAGTTCCTGCTTTACTTGTAGCACCAGTCATGTTGCTCAAGTAGTTTAAACCTGTTCGTTACATAAAGGAAATTTGCAGATATGTATCCACATAAAGAATTTCATATTGCAAGAAAACTCTACATCATGTCCTGAGTTAATTTATGAAAAATCAAATCTTTTAATCAATAAATTTATTAAATCTAACAAGAACAAGTAATTTCAATGTTAACATATGTGTTAATGTAACAGAAACAAAAATGATAACAAACTTAGTCTAATGTCTTTCTTAACATTCTTTCTAAGTAACAACAAAAGTATATATATATAATGTATAAAATGGCTCAACTATAGTTCATGATTCTACTGTTAACAAAAGACAAGTATTTGCCTATAATAATGATTCTCTAATCTATATCTCTATATCAGAAATCGATAAAATATAGGAGTCAGGAGCTACTTTTATAATTTATATTTTAAATAATATAAATATGGTTGATTGGCTTCATTTTAGTACCAGTATTTTGATATGAGGTATTACACAATTATGAATCAATAGATTACAATTTAATACATTGTAGAGAGTCTTCCTTATGTACCTGCCAACCCCATTTCTTGAATATCTTTAAAAAACTGTTCCACTAAAACATGCATGGCACCCATTGTAGGAACTTTGAAAATGGGGTAAGTAAATAAATACAGAAAAAATATTTGACACTTACCCAAAGTTGAAATTTTTAAGTGCCTTCAGTGGGTCACATGTATATTTTTATGGAACAGCCCTAAACTGATAACAGAAAAATACAAATCAAATGTAATCAATTTCCAATATTACAATAACTTCACATGATTATTGTTCAAACACATTTCCTTAACAGTACTCAAAGATGGACTCTGTCTTTGTATCAAACAGTGAATCGAAGTTGCTGTTTCCTGGTGTAACTGCACTTGCTATTAATCTGTAAAAAAGGTTTAAAAAAGATCATATGTTAAATGTTTCAATATTTAAGGATAAGTTACAAAAGACTATTTTTTGTGTGAACAAAATATTAAAGATTTCCAGAAGTTAGACTGGTATAAATTAGTACAGTTCCCTATAAAAATAATCTATGTGCAAAAAGCTTTTTTAAACAAGACAAAAACAAGAAGCTTTTTAAAATATTTATTAGTGTCATTGCTGTCAGTGCCAAAAATGACAAGCCCATAGCCCTTGACTACAGAAAATTGGTTCAAGCTAGTAAACATTTCCAAAAAATTGGTTACACATATAGAAATTTGTTCTCAAAATTAGCTTTGGACTATAGTAGGTGTAAACGTCTTTGGTGCTGGTGGCATTGTTGAAGCAACTAAGGGCAATATCTCTTGAACAGCAAAAGTGAAATTTGTTAATATCAAACTTGACCACTGTTTTGTCATCAGTAACCAAAAACTAAAATTTTAAAAGAATGGTTCACAACTTATAGCACAGAAATGACTTAAAATGCCATTTTTCAATTAAACAAGAACCATAACTCCTAAATGGCCATAGTGAATATTGTCAATATCGAACTTCATCTCAATTTTGATAACAACATATTAAAATGAAAAAAAGATGATACAGACAATTGTCATGAATAGTATTACAGTAAAAATTTACTTCTTTTTACTACCAAGTTTATAATAAATACAAAAAACAAATTACTTCCAGTCAGAGTGACAGTCACATGTATAAAGGGAGATAATCCATGATTTTTCAATATACTTACCTCCTGTTAGAATGTTTTGTATGCTTTTGTTCAGGTGGAGTCATATCATAAAACAGTTCACATAATGGTTGCTTGTTCTTGTTAGTCTGGAAAAATAAACATCAACATATGAATTTCAATAACATTTGTTTAACTTTACCTGAGTTGTGAGCCCGAAAAATTGCATTGGTTTTATCCCTCAATTTCCTAGAATACAACCCATTTTAAGTTTAACTTGAAAAGTAGAAACATATGAAAATGATTGTCAAGCTTTAAGGACAGGTGTTATCCTAAGTTAAATTCTTTAAAAAAATCTATATGACCAACTTATATCCTTTTGGGTTTTGTTTAAATTGTTATTATTAAGTCAATAATATAATCAAAAAGTTAAGTTTTAAGTAACATTAAACTGCAGTATGAAAACCTGTTAAATATCAGTATCATCATCATACATTGTACCAATAAATTATTTAAAAAAAAAAAATTTCATACTATAAACTGAAGATAACCTTTTTTGTGTTGTTGAGTTTCTGTCTCTTTGATGAATGGATAGCTGGATGGCTATATAACGTCCAGTGGAAAATTAAATGCATATTCAGGATGAGAACATAATAAAGGGATATGAACATAAACCCTGCTTTGTGCTAAACCTTCAGGCTGAGCCAGATTTTAGTTCACAAGGTAACAGTCTGCAGGAAGACATGCCACTCTACCAAGACACATTATTCTGACTCAATGCTGACTAGTCAATGCTCTTATTCTTAAGAGTAGAAGCAGCAAATACCATTTTTCAAGTCGTTGGTTTGACCACACCATTTGACTAACCAATATGAAACATAATACACACAAGTCTAAGAAGAGATCCTTACTAGATCATTGTGATGAATTAAGCAAGGTTAAAAGCTGTTCAGAAAAACTCTTTTTCTAAAGTTTAGCGGTTAGTAAAACAAGTTGAATTTTGCTGATTTAAGATGTTATTTGAGCCCTTAAACCTCAGTGAAGATATCACACCTCAGGAAAATGAAAACATGCCAAACAAGATTTTTAAAGGGATTTCTTGATCTACTGATTTTCTTAGACATTACCATTTCTTTATTTTTATTTGGTGTCTTCCTTCTAGCAACTCTTGTTATCTTTTTAGTCCTGACTACTTTTGTTTCCAAGACAAGTTCATTTCTGTCTTCATTTGCCTTTGTGATTTCAATTGGACAACAGTTTGAAAGCATGTCTGTTATGGTCATGTTTTCTTTTTTTACTTCATCATTTGATGTTGTTTCTTGCTTTGAAGACATATCATGTGACAAAGGAATTTTATTTTTCTCATGACTAGTGGAAATGTTCTCTAGTTTGTTCTGATCTTCTTTGTTAGTGTTAAAAGGATTTTCCTGCTTTGGAGGACTATTTTGTGAAGTTGTAAATTTTTCCTCATGCTGATTTGAGACAGTTTTGTCTGTTGTTTTCTGATTTTGATTCATGTCTATCTGGACTAATGGTTCTTTATTTTCTGGTTCTGTATCATTTGCGGTATCATCTGCGGTTTCTTTTGAATGTCCTGGCTCAACAAAGCTGCATTTAGAATCTGAGGATGCACTAGATAACTGAAAACAGAATGGATGTAAAACTCATGCAACAATTTTTAATAGAAAATCTTGATTAGAGTATGAACATGATGAAATACACAACTACATGTAATACAAATGTGACTTTCACTTGTGCCAGGTAGTCAATAAACCTTAAATTTGAACCCTGACCCTTTATTTTTGTAAACTCTTTGCTTTATGTTCAGGGTTTGTGTCTTAATTTCTTACTATCTAAGAATATTACCATAGATATATAATTTACTTAAAATGCTTTAAAAGTGATATAATAATGAAATGTTAGAAATGTATTGTTAGTTATACTGTCTCCATTTACATTAGTCATAAGTGTCGGCTTTTATATTTTTGGAATCTATTTAGGGCTGTTCCAGAAAATACTATTTCCCCCCCAGGGAAGGCAATTAGTTTAATTTTATGTGTGTGGTTGTATTTGAAATACCAAAATGCAAAGGGAGTGTTGTTCTTATTTATTTTCATTTCTGTGGGTGGTGGGGGTTAAAAAAAAGATCCGTCCCTGGGGGGGACATAGTATTTTCTGGAACAGCCCTTAGCATTGTGATTCCTTGTAGTTTATTTTAATATTTTTCCTAGATTTGACCCACCATTTTCCCAGGAAATGCCTGTACCAAGTCAGGAATAAGACAGCTGTTTGCCATTCCTTTTGTTGGTTGTTATAGTATTAACTTTTGATTTTGTCAGTTTTTAAGGACTTCTCTTTTTAAATTAACCTTGGAGTTTGGTATTTTGGTTAATTCTTTTTTTTAAATATATTTCCCTGTATTTTGTGTGGTTGGTTTGTTTGGAGAAAAAGATGAGACATTTTTAAATGAAACTAGAAATTTAGAATTCTTTCATTACTTTTGTCAATGAAATTGAAACTGGAAATCATTCTTTTTTTAACTGCTACTGTATATTACCTGGCTTATACCAGACAATGCTGGAGATAAGATCTTTGGTGACATAATTGGACTGCATTTTATTGGAGAAATTTGTTTCCATGTGGCTTCTTTCATTCTTTTCAATGTTTCCATAACTGAAATAATACTATTAGACTTGCAAGTCTCCAATGCATTGTCATTGTCTGAATCACTCAACTCTACATCCTGAGCCTCTTCTGGTATTCTAAAATATGATCCTGTAAGAGGAAAAGAAGGAACTTCAAAATCAGAAAGTCTAGTCTTGTCATTGTCAGAGTCTAAAACATCAGGCATATTTCTTTCACATGAAAACTTTGGAATGCTCAGTTGTGAATCGGTGTCTGGGTACCTATTGTCTGCAATGTTTACCTTAGCATCTCCTGAAGCATCAATAATACTGTTATTTTCCACTTCATCTGGACATAGTAGTGATGTTCTTGCTTTGTGTTTCTTCAAATCTGTAGTGCCATCACTATCTATGTCTTCTTTAATTTGATGCTTGCCTCCTCCCTTTGAGCGTCTTTTCTTTGGAGCTTGCTTGGCTTCATCTAAAAGTTGTTTCATGGTGGCATCATCCATCATTGGTGTTGTATATTGCTGGAGATCAGATTTGGAAGTAAGGCTGTTAGAATTAGGTTTCAAAATCAAAGGTGTTGTGAAGTTGCCCATGTCTGATTTAGTGCTATTTAATTTTTTGTTTGATCTGAATGTCATAGGTGTTGCGAACTGATTGTTTTCAGGTTTTGATATTGATTGAGCTGACCTTGTTATTCTTGATGTCATGATCTCAGGTGTTAATTTCTTCGCAGAAAGATTTATACTCTTTTTGTCTTTTGGTAATTTTTTTGAAAATTTGATTTCATTTATAATATCAGCTTTTTTGCTATCGCCTTTTGAATCATTTTTGACCAGAACATCTTTGATTTGATCATTGTCTTTTACAGTATCTTGCACTTCTTCTTTAATAATCAACTGTGTTGCAAGTGACATTTGATCGTCACTTTCAATGCAAATAGAAAAATTATCAATATCATCAAAGTTACATCTGCTTCTTCTTATAAGTGTGCTGTCGTCTTCAGAGGAGAATCCTTGTGAGCTTAATGGAGAACTATTTGCTTCAGACACCATTGTTGTTGTGGGTTTTGATGGAGAAAAACTCACTTTAGTCTTCTTTTTTGATGGTGGTGTGATCTCTTCATATCTAGAAATAGAAAGCAGAACAGTGAATACAAAAAAAAATATACAGATAAATTGTTATCAGTCACTTATAATACCTTTATCATGCTGAATCAACATTAATTTATGTTTTTCTGTCATGAATTCAACTGTTTTTTAAAATCTGTTGAGTCTATATTTGAAAGTTAGTACTTTTATTATACACTTTTTTTAAATGCTATACAAAATTTGTACTAGGTGACAATTAAGGAAAAATAAGAAGTAAGCGTGTTCATTTTCTCATTCTCTATTGCATATTTTATATGTTTGTAGTGCACTGTTATTATCAAAACTTATCTTATTAAAGGGAGATAATTCAAAATGTATGTACAATTTAACAAAAACTGGTTACAGTGTCAATATTGACTAACTACCTCAGAGATATATGTCTCTGACTACCTCCATTAGAATAACTTATCTAAACACATATATATTTACACAGTGTAAAATCAATTATAAAATTTAAACAAGTTAATTAATAATTTTTAGGATAAGAAAGTCTTAATACTTGTCACTCTTATCTTTAATATTACAAACAAAAAGAAAACTATTATGCATGTAGTTGTAACAAAGTAAAGTAGAAAACTACATGTAAATATAAAAAAGAAGATGTGGTATGATTGCAAATGAGACAACTCTCCACAAGAGACCAAATGACACAGAAATTAAAAACTATAGGTCACCAGACGGCCTTCAACAATGAGCAAAGCCCATATCGCACAGTCAGCTATAAAAGGCCCCGAAATGACAATGTAAAACAATTCAAACGAGAAAACTAACAGCCTAATGTATGTACATAAAAATGAATGAAAAACAAATATGTAACACATAAACAAACGACAACCACTGAATTACAGGCTCCTGACTTGGGACAGGCACATACATACAGAATGTGGCGGGGTTAAACATGTTAGCGGGATCCCAACCCTCCCCCTAACCTGGGACAGTGGTGTAACAGTACAACATAAGAACAAACTATAAGCATTTGTAAGCCTTTGTTAATAATATACATTATGAAATTAATACCCTATATTTTCTGTTTGTTTCAATATTCCTAGCTGTTTATTTGGAGTTTCATCTATAATCTCAGGAATAACATTATCTGGTTGATTTCTTGTTTTGGAGTAATCCTTTGCTACTGGGATTGCAGAAGTTTCTGTCAACCAATTTGGAGAGGATGTGCTGTTCTGACTATCAAAATCACTCTTGTATACTGGAGATGTCTCTTTTGTTTTCAGGTCCTTCCAAATGTTACATTTGGTTCGTCTGTCTTTGGAAGAGTTGCTTCCTCTTCTTCTGATCTGTTTGGCGACTGGGGAAGACTTTGTTGGTGTTTTAGTCAAAATGGTCTTACTAAAATTCTGTTTCTCATCTCTTGACATATTTTTCCACAGTTCTCGAACTTTTGAGTTTATTTGAGCTTTTGTTAAAAATGGATACAAAGATTTCATATGAACAGTTTCTTTTTGTTGAAACATTTTAAAGCTAATTTTCTGTGTTCTGTACAAAGGAACTGCAGCTGAATCTGTTGACACAGGGAGGTTGTTACCTTGGAGGTAGTCTGACAATCGCCTCTTCATTGCCATGGTTTTGAATAGTATGTTATTTAAATCTGGAAATATGAAAAAGTATTTAAGTAAGTAAGTATAGAATCACACTTGATTCAAATTTCAACAAATTTACAACATGAGTGTTGGCAGCATTTAGAGATTTATAATCATAATGGCACTGTGATCAAAAGGTATTATATTTTGTAACCAATGTAACACTAAACAGACATATAATTTTTGGCGTTATGTTTATGATCCTATTTCATATTTGATTCTAACAAAAATGTAAAAAATTTTAAGTATATTTTGCAGTTGTGTGCTCCCATCTGTCATGCTGAAAAAGGATATTGTCTTCAATACTTATCATCCTTTAATAGCAAAATATGCTGACTTAATAATCAACAGATATACGAATATTCAACATCTCAAAAGCTAAATCCACAAAAAAATTTAGAAATTAAGAATACAAGATTAATAAAAAATAAAAAAAAAGACAGGACTTTCAGTCTTTGTGAATCTGTGATTTTTTTTCTTTCTTCTGAACATATAGTTGTATGGGCCTTAATTACTTATTCATACATATTTTGATAAAACTAGAACATGGTTTAGACTGGTGAATGCCTGTGCAATCAGTGAAAAACTAACTCAGTACACCTATTCTCTTTTCAGAGGATAATGTCCATTTGTACTTGATTATTTACTACTTACATGGTATTTCACTAGACAAGTTTCGAAATCATATTAAAGTAATGCAAATAGTATAATCAGTTGATTAATTGATGTCATATGTTTTAAAAAGAACCATTTACGGATTCAATATTCTATAAAACAAGGTAAATTTCTACCTTTTTTGTATGATAAAAGAATTGTTCCTCATTTTTAATACTTTCAAATTTCAATCTTGAACTTCATCAGTTCATCTAAGTAAATTGTTGGATTCCTCTAAAAACTGACAAAAAATTCTAATGTTTCCACCATAATGGATTGAAATCATCAAACTTATTATTGTAAACTTGAAAGTATTCATTTCTGACCATTTAAATGCATTATTTCTATCAGGAGTAATAGCCTATTTGCCACTTTGGACACAGGTTGTTTCCCTTTGTCAATTGTAGACTATACCAGACAAAATGGGCTGTTGCCCAAGCAAAGCCTGATAAGTTGAAAATAAAGGCGTTCTAACCAATTTTTGATAAAAAAGTAATCAGCTTCACAAAAGATTAAATGGATTCAACAAGCTTTGCGTTTCCAATGAAATTTTATGTCTGCCCTAAGGGAAGCAAGTAAAAAAATGAATCTCTAATTACAGGATCAATTAGGGAATTGGCAAATAGATTCCTGGGCTGCTCCAGAGTATTGGATATGGGTAGGAATTATAATCTATTCTTTGCAGGGACAATAAAAATATCTGTATTTTAAATCAGGCTGTGTTGTTGTATGTACTTCTATTTTCTTGCAGTTGGAATCTGTGCAACCAAGGACATATATTTATAATTGTTATTAATCCTTGGTGCACTGATCTAGGTCAAACAATTTCTTTTATCGCCTCACATTATTTAATATTTCATTGATATTGTCGATTTTGCCTTGGATTTGGTGTGCATAGCACTGCATACTGACCACTTTCAGTAAAGTAGGCTCTTTACATTATCATATAGACGTATTTAACCTTTTTGGGTATTTAGCTGATTTGTCTCTGAATAACCTCTGATGTCATACAACAATCACTTTTTAATTAGGACGTCAAATTTTTTAAATTATGAAGCAAAATTTTGCTTGTGTGGTTTTCAGTAATGGCAGATGAATTTGCATACAAGTCTTTATACAATTACATCTTTTAGCAGGGATATTAAATATATAAAGCAAAAACACCTTTCAGTTTCAACTAGTCCAAATAATTATGACGTCTTGAAAGGCTATTTTTATTTTTTGCTGTCATTTGTTGAAAAAAATCATACCAAGTGAAACCTATTATATATGAAGAAAGTATAGTATTCCCAGTGTAGAAAAATAAAAGGGCAACATTTGTATTCGAATAACTTACAAAAAATTATTTAATCATTTCCATTATTTTGGATCATGTGTACTGTTTAGGTGTTTTCAAAGACCTAACTGTGATCATATTTGCCGCCATTGAAAGTTTTCTTTCAGGTCAAGGACAAGTGCGTGATCAGACGAGACATAAACGTGACGTAAGTAGTTGCTATCAAACAACAGTATGGTTGACATGAAGTGAAGGGGAAAAAAGGTTTGTAAATCATGTCAAAAAGTAATGCAGATGTCGATTATAATTTCTTCGACACACCTAGGGACGACGAACAGGTTCAGGTTCATCATGTTCCACATGTGATTGTTAAGAATCGTCCCCCTCAAAAAGGGGGAACAAAAAATGGACACATTTCTTCCTCTGGCTCTGACTCCTACACCAGTGACAGCTTGACCGATTCAAGTGGCAGTGATGATGAGACTGCAAGGAGCAAGGGGAAAAAAAGTTACAGTAAAAATAAACCAGTAGTTGTGTCAAAGAAATATTCAGAATCTGGAAGTTCTAGTGCATATTCGTATGGTTCATCAGATGAAGATTTTGAAGATGATGACAGTCCCCGTAAGAAAAATACGAAAAGTGTTTCATCAAGTAAGAGTCAAAAAACGCAGGCTTGGGAAATTAATGGTTCATCAAATAACAATAATGAAACAAGACCGAAATCTGCAAAATTCAGGAATAGATCAAAAGAAGAGTCGACTAGACATTCAAAATCTGATTCAGACAGTGAAATAACAGATGTTTCACCATTAAATTCTCCACGTTCAACACCTAGTAGGTCACAAAAACAAGGACTCAACAATGTGCAATATACCTCATCACAAACACAGTCAGGGGATGGCGAAATAAAACTACAGAGTGATAAAATTGATCTTAGATTGTTAATGGATGCTGTATCAGAAATAGACAAACAAGAGAGACTGAAATCAAATACCAGAAGAGTAATGTTTGAACCTCCTAATTCTAAAGGAGGACAGAAAAATCATTATTCATTTGATAAAAGTCGTATATCAGACATTGAAAAGGAGAACCAAAGACTTTTACGACAAATAATGCAACAAATAGGACCAAAACAAAAGCGACAGCAACCCAAAATTCAACATCAAGTTCCGAGAGTTGATAGACTGACATCCTCAGCAGTTAACAGGAGAAAACAACAAACAAAAATAGAAGAAGAAAATATGGTAAATTTTAGTGTTAGTGTTGAAACAGTATAAACAGACAATTATTAAATATTTCATACACATGCTAAACATGTTAAAACATTTGTTAATATAAAACAAGGAGATGTGGAATGATTGTCAAAGAGACAACTATCTAACAGGGATCAAATAACATGGAATTTTAAAAACAACTCAATTTCACTGCAATACATGTATGCCTTTAACAATGAGAAAAGCCCATAATGATAATTAGCTATTATAAACAACCCTGACATGACATTATGATATAATTCAAAAGAATAAGTTATTAGTGACATATCATGCTATATCTCAAGTTATGCCAAAAAGTGTACCAACACCGCCTACAGTTTGTACCAAACATTTTTCAGTGCATACATCATGTACATTTACAAGAGTACAAATAGTTGGAATAAAAATGTTTTCATTGTATGTCATTTTTGTATTAATTATATCTGTATATCAAAAGTAGACTTGAAAGAAGTGGAGAAAAATAAATGTTTGTAGAAATATACAATTACATATTTATTTTAAAGGTTACAAAAATGTATTATACATGAAAACAATGTTTTTCATTATCCATGAAAATTCAATTCATTCAGTCAGTCGATTATACATTCATGTATAACTGAATTTCTCATTTGCATAGACACTGGTGACTTTTTGTGTAGGTGTACTTGTATACATAACATACATGTATATTGTATCTATTAGTAACTACATTTTACATTTGTTACGTACACATACTTGTTGCTTGATTTAAAACCTTTACACACTCTAAAGTCTGAAAGTTTTGTGACTGAAGATCTAAGACTTATTATTTGAATGGATTTTTTCACTATACAGATTTAACTTCATGAGCATGGAATATTCCAGCCACTATCCTAACCATCCTCCTGGTTTACAGAGTGGACATTTTACATGTTAGTTACATCATGTACATGTATGTCTACTTTCCCTAAGCTACTTTTTTAACATTTTTTTTACATTTAAATGTTGAACTGTTGGGGAAGAAAATAAAACTGCAAGCATACATCATTACATGTACATTGTACAAGACCAAGAAATACATTTTGTATCAGGCACCCTCTTGTAACATGTGTAAGAGTCGTTTATGATTGTAGTGAGCCTTGAAAAAAGGCATGAAATCAAATATTTTCAAGTGCCCAATGGCCATCTATAATTGAATTTTATGCTTGGCCTTATCAAGTAGGCAGTGAGCTTATACCTGACATACATCTAACATTAGTCATGTTAGTAAATGAAGCTTAATGATAATGGTGAGAAAATGTAGATAGAAAAAATATTGATTTACATGTATCTGACAGACAGATGTTAATATATCATGTCACAGTTCTGCATGTATTGATTTCATATTTATCACACTTTCAATGATATTCAAATTAAAGTAACTAATTAGTACTAATGTAATTTATACATCATGTACATGTATATATTTGAGTGTGATAAATTTATAATTACTGAAAAATAAAATCCAGGTGATTTTAGCTCAATTCACAAATGTAATTGTTTAGAATTGAACATGTAGAATGTGCTAAGTTTAAACGGTTATATCTTTGAAATACTATAAATATTTACAGAGATTTTACAGTTGAATGATACAACGTAGCAAAAAACAAAAAATGACAAAATTTACATATTTTTACAAATTATACATATATTTTGTAAGTGGATAATATTGAGCTCATGCAAGTACCACAAAAATATTTAGGTGGAGAGTGTTGAGATGATAAGGTTAAAGGACAAAAATTGTCTTATATCTTGAAAATCATAATTCTTTTTGAATAAATGCATACATTGAATCACTTTACTTGAAATCATCCATTGGTATAGAGCTAAATTAAGATAAATTTTACAAGAAAGTTAAATTTAAAAAAAAAATGGATAAACTAGTCCATTTGTTACCTGGCCAAAAGGTACATTTTTGTTTAGGGGCCAGCTGAAGCCTGCCTCTGGGTGCGTGATTTTTTCGCTGTGTTGAAGACCCATTGGTGGCCTTGGGCTGTTTTCTGCTCTTTGGTTGGGTTGTTGTCTCTTTGACACATTCCCCATTTCCATTCTCAATTTTACATGTATGATGTAAATATTGCTGTTTCAGATTAAAAGACAAACACCTTATTAGAAAAATAAGTTGTTCTAAAATATTTATTATTCAATATTATGAACTAAATTGTGAAATGTCTTATGATCAGGATTTATGAAAAAGCTTGGATCTAGCATAAAGGTGTCAAACAATATTTATACTACAGCCGTACAGGTGTAAAAAATTCCTTAAGGTTAGATTATTGGCAAATAAGTCATAGTAATCACGTTTTAAAATATAGCTTCCTAAATCATTTCATTCTCTATTTAAACCTACAAAATTAATGTATATAACATGTACCTTTGTGATAGCTTCAAAAGTAAGTTAGTATTACAGTATTATTTATTAATATATTCTAAAGAAAGCAAGACATGTACATTCCTGGAAGTATTGATAAAATTGAGAATTATATATACTGACGGACTTTAAAAACGCCACACACATTCTGGTGATTTATTTTTACCAAATCATGATTGATCCTCATATAACTACTATGCTTGCCTACCATACTTCTTTCTGTTTAGAAAAATCCAATACCTGACTTACCTGAGGTTATTGAATTTGAACATACTGGATTATTCAGGGCGCACAAATTTCTTAAAGCGAAATTTGAAACCCATAAATGATTTTTTTAAGATTTTTTTCTTCCTGAAACAATTCTTTCAATCCATACCCACACTTAAATCAGTAAAAAATGTTGCTTTTCAATATTGCCGAGACTGAGCAATGAAAATCCGAATCAGGCCTGAAGAATATTGCAGACAGGGATACGTGAACGTGCTGTTACCAGACAATTTCATGTCATAAACTCCTCTTACTGTCCTTACAACAAAGCTACAGGTAGACAGGATTTGTTGATAACCTGAAGAATATTGCAGGCAGGGATACCTGAACGTGCTGTTAACAAGACAATTTCACGTCATAAACTCCTCTTACTGTCCTTACAACAACGCTACAGGTAGACAGGATTTGTTGATAACCACCCATGACCAAATCAATATGTAGTGACAACAGTTCTGCCAACTTTTAATAATGCAAATGCGTGAGATTTGGACAAAATTGTAAAGATCAAAGAGAAAAAACAATAGCTCAAAGGAAAATGCCGCCAAATAAGCATGAAAATGCGTGAGTCTCACGCTAAAAACACGTTGGCAGCCCTGTGACAACGCCACCTCAATAATATTTCATTATGTAATGTCATTTGCGAGACATGCATGACATGTTAACGGCCACAACATCAACTGCTAATCAAGTCGTAGAATGCCATGGCAGACAGATTTACGCCATAAATGTTTCCCATATACTGAAATGCCAAAGAATCGACTGCAGAAAAACATTTAAAGCCCTAAAGTTTGAACGGCATAATTGCCAAAACACATTGTAATGGGTGGGACAGACGCCAAATCAGAAGGTACAAAACAGAACTCAAAACATGCCCAACAAAACTGGTTGACCTTTCTGTCAATCATTTAGGCGATGGTTACAGGCAGGCATTGCCTACGATGGTGACACATCCATTGATAAGGGGAAAACCAGGGTTTCTGAGTGCATACCACATGATTTGAACATTAAACATGACGTCATCAGTTCAACTTTCAAACTGCAAACTTTTTTAGACAATAAAGTAATGAACGAAATTTATGTTTATACATGAAAATGAGAATTAAGAAGAATAATCTAGTGTTGCGTTTTTAATGTCTGTCAGTATATCAAACCAATGTCTATGCAGGCATTAATGGCAGTCTGTACCAAAATCTTCTCCAGCTGCTAGTCTGAGGTGGCTAAACAAAGTTTTTTGCAAATACTTACTTGTCCTGTTAAATTTTATTAATCTGGGGTATGGGACTAGTTGCTAACAGTGCACCCATTAATGGGACAAAATGTAAAAAAAATCATTGCTTTTATAGGAAACTACATTTTATTGCACTAATTCAAATGTATCAAAATTGACTACTGGTTTAGGAATTTAAAGGCAATACTTTTATATAATACAAATGTACATGTATATTTTGATTGTATAAAACAAATGGATACACATATATAAATAAAGTAAAGATCACACACCATGTAACAAAATGACGTTTAACATGGTTAAGGAATGCAAATTTTTTTCAGAATGGATTTAAACTTTAAACTGGGTTTGATTGCATTTTTAGAGATTAAATGGTGCCAAACATGTAGCATATTATCATAATATATATAACATTTGTTTTCCTGCAGTATACCTAAACCATTAACGAGGCAATACTTTCATTTCATTAGACAATGTTTATTCAGCAAATTTATTTAAATCTGGAATAATTTTGAATTCTGGAAAATTGATAAGAAATATATGATGGAAACTAACCCAATTTAGGAGGGTTATAAGGGGATTAGTTAGTTCATACTGAAATATCAGTGAAAGTAACCCTCTTTAGTTGGCTTAGTTTTCCTCATACACTTCTTATCAATTCAAAATTATTCCAGATTCAAATATTTCCTTGTTAACAGATCTAAGCAAGCAAAAGTCATAGAGAAAAAACTTTTTTTAGTTGATACATTTTTGTACATGTATCATGTTTAGTGAGGAATGTCCACAGTAAAATAAGATAACCATGACCTTTATTGTACAAACGAATGGCTTTGTTTATTGTCCATTTAGTTTGATAGGTCCAGATCTAAGCAACAATAATTCATAGAGCAATGAGTTTTTTATCAGCTGATTCATGGTTTGTGATAAACGTTCAAACAGACATTAGGTTACATACAAAAATGTTTATATCCTTCATTAATGATTTTGATTTTTAAAAAATATATAAAATAGATAATAGCCTGGATTTGCTGCCTCCTATAGTCCCAGTGGCGGATCCAGAAATTTTCATAAGGGGGGCCCACTGACTGCCTATGAGGGGGCCCGCTCCAGTCATGCTTCAGTGATTCCCTAAATAATCAACCAAATTTTTCCCCAAAAAGGGGGGGGGGGGCCTGGAAAACCCTCTAAATCCGTCTCCGAGTCCTACTTGGTTTAGTAAAAATTATATAGGCCACAAAGGGCCCTTGGTTAGGCTGGATACAGTGAAGTCTGCAATTTTTTTTCTCTTTAAGTGTTTTTTGTATTTGTGAGTTCTAGAGAATTTAAGTGTTGATATAAAGATGCAGCAATCAAAAAATATTGGGGAACATAATATAGGAGCTCTTACAGGCTTATATTTAGGTCAGTAACAAAGAATACAGCATTGCTGTTGAGCGCTAAGATTCAGTGTCTTCTCAACACTTCCTCTTGTATTCTGTAAACCATTGATGCTTGGTATGCTTGTACAATGTCATCCATGAATTTCAGTTTCAATTAGAGTATGTGGCTGTGCCTGTTTTAGTCAATCTTTAAACTGTTGTTTGTCTTTTTCGTTATTTTGCTATTTTCAAAGGTGTTGTTTGTTTTTCTTTGACAAAAAATGTTTTTTATTGCCTGCACTGATACCTTCTCCCCACTTTTTTTAAACATCTCTAAATGATTTGTCCCAGTAGACATTTGTTTACATAATTATGGCACTTGTCTTTCAGTCTAGATATATTAAGTGGATATTTGGCCTTTTTATAAACATATACATTTGTAATTCTTTAAGTTTATATAACTAGTATAAGTTCCAATATTTTTCAAGATTAATTATATGTTAAGCAGCTATAGGCAGCCTTCACGATCAACTTTTGAGTCCACAAGCCCACAGCTCAATTTTTTGAAAATTTTAGTTGGATTCTGTTGGCTTGTGGAGAAGAATTTTACAAGTCCAAAAGCAATTTTACAAGCCAATGCCGTAGGACTTGTGGTTAAGCGTGAAGACTGATAGGTATAAAGGAAATCACTGATTTTGATCGCAAAATGAGTTTAGTCATATTTTGACTTTGAGTGCTTGGAATTGCCTTGAATAGCTTGTATGAGTATATTTAGATCTTTTCATATACTATTTGTAGTGTTGCATTTTTTAGTCTGTTATCATTGGTTGCAAATATAGCATTATCCACATGAAAAATTGCAAGGAAATTTCTTCTTTAAAATAATTTATCATTAGAAACCAAACTTAACTTATCCTAACAATATTTGCATGTTATATGTAAAATTGAGGCTGAGTGATTCAGATTGATTTATGACAAATTCTGGCTTCTTATATCCTCTAGTTTTGTAAAGTAGGATGAACAAATGTTCCAGCATTAGGTCACTGTAAAGTTTTGTTAAGGCTCATCACACAATGTTTTCTGAATTTTTTTTATTTTCAACATGTTTAACATTATACATTGTAAATAATAAACATAAATTATACTTGGTTGTCAGAGTGAAAGTGTAAATGTTTTCTTTTATGTACATTTAACCACACATAATGGGATCTTAAAAACTATTCTCCGAAACCTTGGTTTGAAACTTTTAAGACATTTACACTAGTTCAAGTCACCTTAGTATTCCAGATAGGTATATTTGTTCAGTATTTAAATTACGTCCACAATCTCTTTAAAAGCTTTCAAAATGTGGAAACTCATTTAAGGCATATTTCAATTCATTATATTACGGCTGTTCATGTAGAACCTATTTTATATACTGATCTTACTATAGATTAAAATATTAAGTCTGAAAATCAGAAGTGTGCGGAAAGGTATGGTAACTTTGGTGAATTACCAGACTGTTTGTTAACATGAAAAATCAATGGACGGAAGCATAGTAGCTTCAGACTGTCATATTCAATCTACCTGAAAATCAAGATATTAATCCACCCGTGTAAATAAAATATACACAATTCAATTTAATCTAAACTTAGCATTTATGGACAATTGCCAACATTGCATGTATAGAAAAAACAGTGTAGACATGAACCCTTTATTCGCTTCTTAAATAAATATTTTTCTTTGAGTAATCAGCACCAGACATATTGGGATAAGATCAAAATCATCACAGTTTTTGGGCAAGTTAAATAAGGTGTCGTTATTGAATCATAGGAGAAATATTGACATTTCGTAATTATTAAATCCATATTTGCATAAAAGGTGGCGTGAAATCTATATTTTTCACAATATGAAATTGAGGAGATGTGATGATAATGCAAATGAAGCAATTATTTTCCAATAATGATTGTTTATTTGTAATTCACAGCATGTTTACATCGAATGATTTCATTAAAACTTGAAAAGATTTAATTATTGTAAGGTGCACTAGATGGCAGTTACAGTTAACACTTTTATGTTTTTATTAAGTTTAATAGTATTTAAATTTTATTCAAACTTTTTAACTATATTTTTGTCATGTTAACACATGCTAGTTATATCAATTTAATTGATATGGTATTCCATTAACTACCAGGAACTCTTCATCAGTCAGTTAGAGGGTCCTATTGGCTATGTGGAATATCAACATACATTTTTTGTACATTGAATAAAAAGACATATCAAATGTGTCACTTACAGAGGTTGGACTGTATTAGGAAGGTGTAAAGTACATTCATACCAAGCTATTCTATGTTCTCTATAAAAAGATATATCACAGGGAGAGGGATGGGGTATATATGAGCTAAACCTCTTTAAGTCTTATACACATATATCTGTGCTTAAAAAATTACAATAGAAGTACATAAGTTTTATCTAAACACTGCTTTTAAGATATGCGTTTACATGGTAATTAGAACGTATGGACAGCATGGTGTACCACTATTTAAAAAGTTTCTGATTTTATCTTTTCAGAAATTTCTCAATAGATTGCAGAAAGCAAAGGCATCCAGGGGATTGTCAAGAAAGGAACAATTAGATGAGTATTCCAGAGCAACATTATATGGTGTGCCGATAGCTGCAGTGCATGAGCAGATGGAGCAAGAAAGGCTCGACTCAACTTACATGAGAAGTGCAAGTAGTCTCAACTCAACACTTGGAATCACACAAGGTAGAAGGTCAAGGCCAACAAGTGCAAAATCTAATGCCAGCTCAATTCGCCCAGGAAGTGCTAAATCTACATTGTCTACAGCTAGCCGTGTAAGCCGTGGTTGCAGACCAGGCAGTGGTAAAGTGTACAGACCTACAGACAGTCATCCAGCTTGGGATGGTCGTCCGGCATGGGATGATAGATTTTCATATTCATAATCACTTTAAATATTTATTAACAATCTATTGTCATATTGTTGGCGCCATTTTTCATTTTTACTCAAATAATTGTAATAAACTGAATTACACCTGGGACATTTGGGAGATGTGTTTAATACTTAAAATGTGAAGGAATGCAAAAAATGAGCAGAAAAAAAGCAACCTCAATGAATACTTGGTGGCTAGTTATTCAGAGTGCTTAAGTACGTGTTAATATATTAGAATTAGTAGTTTTTTTCTTTATACAATTTTTGATTTTTATACAAATTAAAGTTGATCAGTACGTTTGTACTAAATGGCAATCTGAATCTGTTTATATTAAACCTGATTCAGTAGGTATTGCTAGGTAAATGGCATGACAGAACTGTAATAAAAGTCAATGAAGTAAAACCCATGCATGGTCTACTTAGCATTTACAAGTACCAGAATACTTTTATTTCACAAGTTTTAAAAAAGCAATGTTACAATGAATTTCATTAAATGATCATAAAAGAATTTGGTGCAAGTTTTTTTTCAGTACAGAAAATTTCTTTAAATTTTTTTTTCAAGTCTCAGAAATTTATTATTCATATATACATGATATATATTCATTATTGGCTGATCAAATCTTGTGAAAAGATGACAAGATTTGATTTTAAATACAATTTTTTACATAGAAAAGAGTAGTTTCAATTTTATTATGGTAAATATGCCATTATTGTTTGTATATATAAATATATTTTGTCTTTATGAAGTTTGTCTCAAATTGCTCATTGAAAGTAGATTAGGATTATTTCTATTAGAATGTTGGATGTGTAAATTGTAATTGATATGTATGTGGCATTTTGGATCACAATCTAGACAGTCCAATGTCAGTTGTCTATAGTAATAGTTAAATTTGGTGTATTGTTTAATGTTACCCAGTATTTATACATAGAACATGTTTGTTTTTTCAAACTTAAACAGTTTGATACACAAAAAAAGCACTTATTATTAATGCAGTAGAAGTTTATAATTTGAATATGAATTTTAATTCCCATGTGGAGTTAAATATTTACACAGGATTTGTACAATTCAATAAAATTTCCATTTTTATTGATTTTGAATTGATTTTATGCTGATTGAATAGTTTGTTATGAAATATTGATATTTTGTAAGCAGTTATCATATTAGTTATGTCTATTGTTAAAAATAAGGTTAAATGTAACAAGCAACTTAAAAATAAAGGTTAACTTTTATAGGTGAACTTTTTTTTTTATAAAGACAAAAAAAGTTTACCCTTGTATACAGAAAAATGGTTATAAACATGATATAAAGGAATTAGTTCAATTTCTAAAAGTTGATAACAGATCTACATTAAACGTAATTGAATTGAGATTCATACCCCCACCCCCTTTCTTTGTAGTTAAAATGTACTAAACAATAGAAATAGTTATTTTTATTACAAATTTTTAAATAAAATTGTCTGTAAGTAATAATGGATAATTTTTCATTTCATAGTTATAACACTAATTGTAAGATTTTAATGAAAATGTTACAAATCCTTAAAATGTAAGCTTAGTCGTTTTTTTCCTTATGAAAATATCTATTGAAAATGCAAAGGAGCTTTTTTCATATATAGTATAGAAATTTATGTATATCAGTGAAAAGACATATAACACTTAAAAGGAGACTGAAATAGGCTTAGAACTTACTTTTCTAAATTGTTCAGTTTGTATGATGTTTGTAAAGTAAAATGTAGAATGGTTTACATATTTTGTTGTTTTATATGTAAACAGAAATTTTGATAAGATTGAAAGAATCTAGTGAATCTATTGTTCTGTCTCAGCTTGTAGATATTATTAAAGAGAAAAAGACAAAATTGTTTTGATTACTTTAACTCATATAGGCAATAGTTGGTTTGCAGTTGTAAAGCGAGATCATATCTATCTGAAAGACCTATGTTAAAAACATTTCTGTTAAACTTTCTTGGCTTCTATGAAAGGGAATGATTTTATATTTGGTTTGCAGCTTGATAATGTTGAGTTATAGTCTGTAAGCAATTTTTATACGCCCCTCAAAATTTTGACGGGACGTATTATGGTATACAAATGTCGTCTGTCTGTCCGGCGTAAACATGTCGCACCGTAACTTGAGAACGACTTATCCAAATTTCATGAAACTTAATATAGTTGTTTCTTATGATGGTCAAACGATCTGTATACTTTTTGGTGAAAATAAGATTAAAACTTTTTGAGTTACGGGACTTAGTAACTAAAAAACAGGTGTGTGTTTTTTGTCACATGTCGCGCCGTATCTCAAAAAAAAATTATGATTATTGCTTAAAACTTTACACACTTCTTAGTTATATTAATCTTAAGATCTGTATACTTTTTGGTGATGATTCAAAATTTATTTTTGAGTTGTTGAGTATTTTGTAAAAAAAGGGGGAGGGGTTTTTCACATGTCGCGGCGTATCTCAAAAACATTTTATGATTATTGCTTAAAACTTAACACACTTCTTAGTTATATTAATCTTAAGATCTGTAAGCTTTTTGGTGATGATTCAAAATTTTATTTTTGAGTTATTGAGTATTTTGTAAAAAAAAGGGGGAGGGATTTTTCACATGTCGCACCGTATCTTTAAAACGATTTATGATTATTGCTTAAAATTTTACACACTTCTTAGTTATATTAATCTAAAGATCTGTATACTTTTTGGTTTTGATTCAAAATTTTATTTTAGAGATATTGATTTTTTTTTTTAAAAAGGGGGGTTTTCACATGTCGCGCCGTATCTCAAAAATGATTTATGACTATTGCTTAAAATTTTACACACTTCTTAGTTATATTAATCTAAAGATCTGTTTACTTTTTGGTTTTGATTCAAAATTTTATTTTAGAGATATTGAGTTTTGGGAAAAAAAAAAGGGGGGTTTTTGCATGTCGTGCCGTATGTCAGAAACTATTTATGATTATTGCATAAAAATTCACACACAAGACGACGGGCGTATCATGCGCTCATGGCGCAGCTGTTTATTAGATCTGCCATGTAATTACTTTCTTGTTTGCTAATAGTTTGAAATTTACAACACTCATTGTACATGAAAAATTTTTGTCAAACTTTTCTTAGCTTCTATGGAAAAAAAAATTAGATTTTTTGTCTTGAGCTTGAAAATGTTGAGTTTCAGGGCTTAAGCAATTTTAACATGTGCAGTGCCAGTGTAGCAATACTCTTTGTTTAAGGGAAATTTCCGTCAAAGTTTTTTTGCATCAACTGAGGTCCAGACCTGATATTGGTCTTGTAAATGTTAAAAAATGCATCTGTACATCAACTTGTGGGTTTGAAAATATTGTCTTATGAGCCATGAATCAAATCTCAGTATTCTTGTAATGACAAACTCACTTCCAGAAAGAAGCCATATTAGTTTAGGGTCTATAGGTAAGATCAGTCAAGATTACCTTTTAGGGATTTCCCCTTTGCAGCTCAGCTTGCCCAAAAGGCCAAGTGAACTATTTTCATCACTTAGGCATTTGTCTTTGTTCGTTAACTTTTACCAAAATCTTCGCCTCTAACACTTTTTGTGGATAGTGAACCGGTGGCGTTAACAAACTTCTTAAAATCTTAATAATTCAGAAGGTAGAAGACCTGGATGCTTCATACTTTGTATATATAGATGCTATGATGTGAAGTTTCTGCCTGTCATATGTCCATTGTCCTTGACCTCATTTTCATGATTCAGTGACTACTTGAAAAAAAAGTTATGATTTTTTGTAATGTTAATTTCTCTCTTATTATGAGTAATAGGATAACTATATTTCGTATGTGCTTACCTTGCAAGGTCCTCATGCCTTTGAGACAGTTTTCACTTGACCTTGACCTCATTTCATGGATCAGTGAACAAGGTTTAGTTTTCATGGTCAGGTTCATATCTCAGATACTATAACCAATAGGTCTATTATATTTGGTGTATGTAATGATTGTAAGGTGAACATGTCCAACTGGCAGGTGTCATCTGACCTTGACCTCATTTTCATGGTTCAGTAGTAAAAGTGAAGTTTTTGTGTTTTGGACTTTTTGTTGAGCCTGCAACTTCAGTCGCAGAAAGCTTGATATATGGATAGTGATCCAGCGGCAGCGGTGGAGTTAACTAACTTCTTAAAAGCTTTATATTTTAGAAGGTGGAAGACCTGGATGCTTCATACTTTGTATATAGATGCCTTATGCTATGAAGTTTCCGTCTGTGATATGTCCATTGTCCTTGACCTCATTTTCATGATTCAGTGACTACTTGAAAAAAGTAAAGATTTTTTGTAATGTTAATTTCTCTCTAAATATGAATAATAGGATAACTATATATAAAATGTGCGTACCTTGCAAGGTCCTGATGCCTGTCAGACCGTTTTCATCTGACCTTGAACTCATTTCATGGATCAGTGAACAAGGTTTAGTTTTCTTGGTCAAGTCCATATCTCGGATACTAGAAGCAATAGGTCTACTATATTTGGTTTATGGATTGTAAGGTGTACATTTCCAACTGGCAGGTTTCATCTGACCTTGACCTCATTTTCATTGTTCAGTGGTTAGGGTTAAGTTTTTGTGTTTTGGTCTTTTTTCTAATACTATATGCAAAAGGTCAATTATATTTGGTGTATGGAAATATTTTACGATGTACATGTCAGTCTGGCAGGTTTTATTTGACCTTGACCTCATTTTCACAGTTCATTGCTCAGTGTTAAGTTTTTATGTTTTGGTCTGTTTTTCTTGTAACTACAAAAAATAGGTCAACTATATTTGGTGTATGGAATGATTGTAAGGTGTATAAGTCTGTCTGGCAGGTATCATCTGACCTTGACCTCATTTTCATGGTTCATTGGTCAATGTTAAGTTTTCATGGTTAAGTTTGTTTCTTAGATACTATAAGCAATATGTGAACTATATTTAATGCATAGATTGACTGTAAGGTGTACATGTCTGTCTGGCATGGTTCATCTGACCTTGACCTCATTTTCATGGTTCATAGGTTAATGTTAAGTTTTCCTGGTTAAATTTGTTTCTAAGAAACTATAAGCAATAGGTCAACTATATTTGGTGTATGGAATGATTGTAAGGTGTACATGTATTTCTGGTTTGGTTTATCTGACCTTGACCTCATTGCCATGGATAATGAAAAATGTTAAGTTTATGTGACACTTGTAGTAAAACCTTTATCTTTAAGACAACTTTCAACATAAAATCAATGGTCAGTAAAGCAGGTGAGACATTTCAGCGTTTGCACTCTTGTTTTGCATTTTTGCATATTATCTTAAAAATTGTTAAAGATAGATAAAACTTTAAACAGCTAAAATGATCAGGAAGATAAGATCTGCAAATAGATCAGAAAAAATGAAATCATCAGTTTTTTTTTATAGGAGAAATTGCCTCTAATTGATGATTCAGATAACCCTTTTTGTGTCCCCTGCAAGGAAAGTCTCAGTATGCGTGATATAGGTATTACCGGCACTATCCATCGGCAGCAGCAATGTTAACTATTTGTTAAAAGATTTATATTTCAGAAGGTAGAAGACCTGGATGCTTCATACCTTGTATGCTTTTACCTCATGCAACCAAGTTTCCTTCTGTCACATGTCCATTGTCCTTGACCTCTCTTTCATTGTTCTGTGACTACTTGAGAAAACAATATAGATTTTTTGTCATGTTAATTTCTCACTTACTATGAGTTATAGGATAACTATATTTGGTATATGGGTTCTTTGCAACATGTACATGTCCTTCAGACAGGATTCACTTGACCTTAACATCATTTCATGGATCAGTGATCAATGTTAAGTTAAGTGATTAGGTGTTTCTCAGATACTATAAGCAGTAGGTCAACTATATATGGTGTATGGAATGATCGTAAAGGTTACATGTCAGTCTGGCAGGTTTCATCTTATCTTAACTTCATTTACATGGTTCATTGGTCAATGTTAAGTTTTTGTGTATTGGTCAGTTTTTCAAGTACTATAACCAATAGGTCAACTATATTTGGTGTATGGAATGATTGTAAGTTTTACATGTCTGTCTGACTGGTATCATCTGACCTTGACCTCATATTTATGGTCCATTGGTCAATGTTAAGTTTTTGTGTTTTGGTCTGTTTGTCAATTACTTATAGCAATAGGTCAGCTATATTTGATGTATGGACATTGCAAGGTGTACATGTCTGTCTGGCAGGTATAATCTGACCTTGACCTCATTTTCATGGTTCATTGGTCAATGTTAAATGTTTGTGTCTTGGTCTGTTTTCCATTACCATAAGCAATAAGTCAACTATATGTGGTGTATAAAAAAATTGTAAGGTGTTAATGTCTGACAGGATTTATCTGACCTTGGCCTCATTGTCATAAATTTTTAAAAATGTTAAAGTTTATGTGGTACTTTTAGTAAAAACTTTATCTTTAAGACTCTCAACATAAAATCAATGATCAGTAAAGCAGGCCAGACATTTCAGCATGTGCACTCTTGTTTGTTTTTTGGGCAAAAACTATAGAAGATGGAGAGAAACTGCAAACAGAAAAAATGATCAGCAATAGAAGATAGATAAAAAATGGATTTTAGTTGTGAAATATGTTCTTGTCTGCAATGTCTTAAAGATGGTGTGAGCTTTTGCCATCACATGGCATCTGTCATGATTCAGTAAAGAGTTATTGCCCTTAAACAAGGATTTTTTTACTAGTTTCTTGCCTATTATCTCTTAAACTATTATGCATAGGTAGAAACTGCAAACAGGGCAAATAATCAGAACTACAAGATCTACAAAAATGTCAGTACAACCAAAATAATTGTATTTGTAGCCTTAAACAACAATTTTTGAATAATTTTTGTGTCTTTTCAAATTA